AATCATTACTCAGCAAGCAGCCGCAACCTTGGTGTCTGGCATCTCCGCTTCTTGCGATACATCTTTCAGCCTCTCGGACATCTCCGCCACCTTTGCGTCATTCCCAGATCTCTGGTACGCATCCAGAAGAGCTCGTAGCGTTTTGGCCGGCCATTTTGCCCCCGCCGCCTCCATGTCCGCGGCCACCTCCTCCATCCTCTCGTAACTCCCTGCCCTGGCCATCTCCAACACGACACTCTCGTAGCAATGCGAACTTAGCTCCATACCCGCCTCTCTACACTTCGCGTAGATCGTGTACACCCTCTCCACCGCTTTGCTCTCAGGCTGTTCCACGCCTCTCCGGCCAAAAGCTCCCACCATGGACTCAAACGCTGGGTCCTCCACAAAGCTGCCATCCTTGCGGTCGATCACTCGTCCCAAGTAGTTCTCGATCTCCTCGAGCCGGCCACATTGCGCATACAACTCAACGACATAGCTCTGGAACGCCGACGTCGATGCAATCTCTGGAGTTGTCTCCACAAACTCGATCAGCTTCTCTATCCCTTCCACGGTCGCAGTCCTGCTGTGAGCCTTGGCGGCCTCCTCCACCGCCGGAACCGCGATGTTCTGCGGCAGCTGGGAGCTTTCCTCTCGCATCTCGCTGAGAACCTGGTGGAACCTGTCCAGCGCGTCCAGGCGAGAATAGCCGATGAGTAGCGCCGCGAAGGTCTCCGGGCTTCGCTTGAAAGGCTCGTCACCTTTCCTGCAAACCCTCTCCATCTCCTGGAACGTGCTCTCGAACCTGTCCATGCGTCCCATTTTCGCGTAGGCGTGCAAGAGCGTGTTGAAAGTTATGGCGTCCGGCGAGAGCCCGGCATCCCGGCACTCCCTCACCATGGCCTCGAGGCCTTGCCAGTGGTGGTAGCGCGCAAACATGGCGATGAGGATGTGGTATGTCATGGCGTTTGGCGGGCACTCGCGGGAGAACTGCTTCATGCCGTGGAGGATTTGCATGGCGCTGTCGAGGTCGTTGTCCTTGGCGTAGGCGATGATGAGCGCGTTGCAGCACTGGCTGGATTTCCTCATTCCCTTCTCGAACATGTCGTCAAACCAGCTCCGAGCCAGCATTGTGTGCCCGACCACGCCGGCGTAGGAGATCATCATCGAGTAGAGCCGGTCGAGCTCCATGACCCTCGCGGATTTTAGAACAGTAGGATGGTCTTTCATCCAAGTGAAGATCTAAGACAAGCTTATCAGAACAAGGAGCGAAGATCTAAGAACAAAGCAGTCACTTACCTCCAGACTGTGGTGGTGATGCGGTCCTCCCATGAGATCGGCCACCATTGGAATCCAAAACCTTCCAAAGTCTCTCATGTAGCTCTTCTCGTCGAGGATGGCCTCTCTCGCCTTGACAGCGGCACCATTCTCGATCCTGAGCCGGATGAGCCGCGCTGCGTAGCCGGGATGCGGCCTCTTGTCACCCCTGACTCCCGCCAGCGTCGATCCGCCAGTGGAAGTGGCCGGAGTGGATCCCTCCGGCTCCAATCCCACAATGTACTCGAGATAAGGAGTGTCGCTCCAGGCATCCACATCATACTCTTGCGGCTTCACGAGCGGGGAGATCAACCTGGAATAGAGACGCGAACCTGGAATGGACAGACCCGTCCATCCCGATCGCCTTGCCGCGGGCGCCAATGCTGTGAACTCACCGCGAGAGAGAACGAATCCTCTGTCGGTGCCGCGCGGTGTGGACAATGCGAGCGCCGAAATGTGGAGGCAGCGCCGCCTGCCCAGCACGCGGAGGAGCGCCCGGGACGCGACGCCGCCGCTCACCATCGCCATGGAGCTGGAAGGAAATTTAGGGTTTAGGGTTTAAGCGTCTTTAGCGATGCCCGTCCTCTCGCACGGCTAGGCATCGAGCCTGCGATCGTGTTCCGAGCCCGCGGATCTTGCAAATGGCCGGCGCATCCACGCCGCCATCGCCCAATCCTCGCTCTCGCACAGGCACCAGAGCTACCTCGACAATCTCCTCCTCCAGATGTATGGCATTGCACAGTCGATCTCGGTCTTCCAATCCATGGGCGATGAGCGCCGTGACATCTTCTCCTGGAATCTCATGCTCGCGTCTCACGCCCAAAACTCGCCACTGCCCCAGTGCCAGTGATTCTCCTCACAGAAGCGCGCGTGAGACATGGTGTCCTGGACGACCATCGTCTCCGCCACTAAGCTCAAGCCGAGCGCCCTCGTCAAACTCAAACAGGCAGGGCTGTGAGAGGCACAAGATAGTTTACATAGGAAAGCAAGCAGCGGCATCACAGGGGATTTGGCGAATCGCCCTCTCGGCATGCCCGAGCTCGCCCGATTTCGCAAGATTGTCGACGATGCACGACATTGCCAGGAGCGTGATGAAGGTCATGGAGTCTGGCGCCAGGCCCTCTTAGTTCATATATGGAAGATATTGATCGCGTCGCCGATCCTCCCTCTGCTGGCATTGATCGACACCAGGACGTTCCACGAGGTGGTGTCCCTGCGATGGATCCTCTGGAAGAGATCGACACTGTCGCGATTCCCGAGCTGGAGGTGCAAGGACAGCAAGAGATTTGCTAGCATCGCGCTGTGGCCTATCGAAGATCTCCTGGGCTTGGGGGAGATCTCCTCCCTGGAGATGCGCCCGGATCAAGCCAGTCCAGGCGAGCGGGGTCCAGGGCGCCGTGGATTCCATTCCAAGACACGAGATTTCTCTCCAGGATCCTGTGGAAGATCTCCAGCGCTTGCGGCAAATCCCGCAATGGGCATACGCTGGCGTTCCACGACACTGCGCACCACTGCGGCATTCTCTCGAAGGAATCTTTGGCATATACGAGGGCACTAGCATCCGGCTTGCGCTTAGCAGCGGAAACGATGCTCATCGAGGACACCACGTCTCGCAGGCGCTTCAGCAAGAAGAAGCACTAGCACTGGGGCAGTGGCGAGTTCTGGGCGTGAGCCGCAACCATGAGATTCCAGGAGAAGATGTCACAGTGCTCATCGCCCATGGATTGGAAGACCGCGATCTACTGCACGATGCCATACATCTGGAGCCCTGCCTGTTCGAGTTTGACGTGCCTGGTAAGAATGATGTCCAGGTGACTGTATGCCATAATTTTTTGTTTCAGACAAGATCGCCTGGGCCAAGAAGCTGGACGACAAGCTAACCGCAGATTTTGCTGAGGATGGCACTGACTGGGCAAGCCATGCGAAGTTTCGGAAGCTTGGAGCGCATGCCAAGAAAACATACATGTTCTTCACGGAGATGAAAAGTTTCATATCGGCCTTGAGACATGTGTTGACAAACCAACCTCTGGGAAGACCACTGCTCTTGCTACTGTGGCTGGATATCTTCGGCAACTTTGGAAGACCACCTCCAAGAAGGTCAATGGCGAAGACTTCGTCCATGATCCCTTGAGGACAATGTGGCTGGCTCTTTTGTTGGGCTACATAGATGACCTTCCAGCCGAGTTTTCGCCCCAGTGCTGGACCTTGAAAGGATTAGAATTTTGGATCCTGTTGAGATTGTCAGAGGAGCTTCAACGCGTTTGACACCACGCTGAAGAGATAACCGGGGGCTGCCAACGCAGAAAGAAGAGATGAGGCTTACCATTTTATGAAGAGCAACTGGAGCACGTCGTTGTCTACTGCTCATCCGTCCGAAGTATGTGGAGGATCAGATTAGTGAGCGACAAAAGCCCCACGTACATGTTAGTCACAGGTAGTGGCCTGGGGCTAACTTGTGTGCTTTTCGTTTTATCCAACAGGCTGAAGAACTGCATGCATATTGCGAACACGAGGTTTGTCGTGCCGGGCGGCTCCAAGCGGAGGTGAGCATAGTGTTTACTTCCTTCAAAGCCTACTGATGGTTTGGAGTAGGAGGATCCAATTGTGGCGTTTTGCAGGCTTCCCAGAAGGCAAGAACACCGGAAGTGGAACGCGAAACGCATTAAGGTAAATGAAATGTGTGATTTTACGGCTTACCGACGCGATTAAGCAGGCTGATGGATCTGAAGAGCAGCTGACTTTGTCCGACATGCATCTCTGCTCGGAATTCAAAAGTGACACTGGCTGGGTTCCCAGGCCTGTTGCTCATTACGGGACCAGGAAGCTACGGGCCACGTACGACATGTACGAAGCTGGCGTGCAAGAGTATCTCCCAGAGGTCATCTCGCTGGAGGAGCTTCGTATCCGTGGTTGGCGGCGTGGAAACGATTATAACGGAGTTGCCGGACGCGCTAGACACTGGATGCTTCTACGTGGATACAGAGACAGGAACAGGAAAATGTCTATCAGATTCTCTGCGTGCATGCACTATGGCGCTCATCAACGAGACTCTGCAGTGCAGGTCCGACTTTGAGGCTAGTAATGGTATCAGTGAATGGACAAGGCTGATCCGGCACGACGACAACAGTGCTCGGGTTGGGTGGAACGCCGAAATGGCAACTCTCATTTTCATCAAACACTATGGTGTCGTTATTGACGCGCAAGGTCTGCAGCTTTACTTCAGACCTAAAGCGGTTGTTAGATTCGAAGGTGATTTTTCCCCCGTTTTGCTGCTCGCCGACAAGATTTCTCGTTTCTTTGCACCTGTGAAGTTCAGCCACCCGGGAGTCGTTTGCTTTGGAGACAACGAGAGGCTCGTTTTGGGGGTGCAAATAGCGACTGGCGTGGACGCGGTATTGAAGCATGGAGATATGGATACGCCATGGCCCAGGTTACAAGGAGGTGTTCATTTCTTTTGGCCGTTTGAGTGAACTGCTGAAAGTCATCGACGACGGCTGCATCTCGAGAGTAGCAAGCACGTCACGGTGGCAAGCAACCCTGAAGAAGCTAAAGCTGAGGCAGAGGAGTTAAGAAAGCTTGGTGGAAGTGGAAATCCGTGTCGGCGTCTTCGCCATATTGCCATCACCACGATTGAATAATCTTCAGTTTTCCAGCCTCAGATTAGCCACTCAGCTTAAATTAATTCCAAATGGGAATTTAGGGTTTTTCTAGGGCATATGGCGGCCAAGCTCGCGCTTCTCGACGACGGCAGCGATGGCGAGGCTGAGCCGACGCTGCGGATAAACGAGGAGTACGCGAAGAGGTTGGAGCACAACAAGCGGCGGGAGGATCTCCAGCGGCTGCAAGAGCTTCGAAAGCGCGGGCTTGTGGACACGGATTCGTCGTCCGAGGAGGACGAGGATGAAGACGAGGATGGAGTGCTGCCGGAGAAGACCGAGGTACGAATTTTAGAGACGCTAGCCAGGATCAAGAAGAAGGATCCCAGCATTTACAAGCCAGAGGTGAAGTTTTTCGAAGACGATGGTGATGAAGACGAAGACGTCGAGGAAGAGAAGGCTTTGAAGGAGAGGAAGAAACCAGTGTATCTGAAAGATGTTGTGGCCAAGCAGGCTCTGGAAAATCCTGAGGGCGACGAGGACGAGGAGGATGGAAATCCTCCCATCAAGACCTATGCTCAAGAACAGCAGGAGCTTAAAGATGCGCTTCGCAAGAGTTTTGCTGCGGCGGTCGAGGACGACGATGATGAGGAAGGGCTCTTCACGGTCAGGAAGAAGAGCAAAGAGGAGCTGAGGCGAGAGGAAGAACAGGCCGAGAAACTGAGGAAGGAAGCTCCTGTTTCTCAGAAGTTGGAAGAGTACTTTGGGAAGGACGATGATCTCGACGAGAAGGATAGGTTTCTCAAGAACTATCTCCAGAACCAGGGATGGATCGACAAGAACAAAGACAAGCTACCGTCTTACGAGGATGTGATTGGGGAAGTGAGTGAGGAGGAAGAGGAGCTCGACGATCAGGACCGGTATGAGTCTCTACTTAACTTTCGTTTCGAGGAGGGTGGCGATTCCCAGGTACTTGGACACTCGAGAGTGGTGGAGGACTCGGTGAGAAAGATATCCGAGAAGAGGAAGGAGCGGAGGCGGAAGAAGCAGGAAAGGCTCGCACAGGCAGAGTTGGCGAGGCAGGAAGAGGTGAAGAGGCTCAAAAACGTGAAGAAGAAAGAGATGATGGAGAAGCTGTCGAAGATCCAAACTGTTGCTGGGATCCAGGCAGGGCCTGGTAAGATCGATGAGGGTGATCTAGAGGAGGACTTCGATCCCGACGAGCACGATAGGAAAATGCAGCAGCTTTTCGGCGAGGACTACTACAACGATGAGGATCCAGACTTCCACTCTGGTGATGGAGAAGCAGCAGGCATGGATGGCATGGATTTTGATGAGGGGATAGAGAAGAGTGAAGACGAAGGACTCGTAAGCCTGGACTACGAAGACAAGATTTCGGACATGCCAACGCGGTTTAAGTACGCTCAAGTGAGGCCGAACAGGTTTGGCTTGTCGACGGCACAGATATTGGATGCGGACGAGAAGGAGCTCAATCAGTACGTGTCGGTGAAGGCAATGGCACCATACAGGACGGAGGAATGGATTCCTCGTGGCAAGTATCACCGTTTGGCAAAGAAGGCGAAAAAGGAGAAGCAAGCTGCCGATGAAGGGACTGGTGGCGATACTGGTGGCGATACTCCTGTTTCTCAGCAACACACGAAGAAAAAGAAGAAGAAGCAGCAACAGCAGCAGAAAGAACCGGAAGCTCAGGCAGAAGAAGCGGCAGTAGTAGAAGCAAAAATAGCAAAGAAGGAGAAGAGAAAAGTTGACGAGCAGGCACTGTCGCTACCAAGGGAGATCAAATGCCAGAAGACAAAGGAGAAGCTTGATGAAACGGAAGTTCCTGGCGAAGAACAGGCACTGCGAGAGGCAGAGAAGAAGGCGAAGAAGGAGAAGCAGCACAAGAAAGTGGAAGGTCTCCATGACAAGGCTGAAGAACACCAGCCACCACGGAAGAAAACGAAGAACGAGGGAGTGGAAGTCGATGCCACTCCAGGAGCCAGCGCTGCCGCGGAGGGAGAGAGTGGTCCCGGAAAGAAAAAACGGAGGAGGAAGAAGCAGGGACTTAACATGTCCCAGAGCAGGCTTCTATCGTATGGGAAGATCGATCTGCCCAAGAAAAAGCGCAAGTGATGAAGTCGCCGGTTCTGTTGCACTAAAATCTGTTCCTCGTTCTCCTTGATCGTGCGCTCGCGGGGAGAGGCGTCGGAATCTCTCGGACCAGCTAGGGGGAGGCGATCTTGGCCAGCAGATCGTTGGTGACGATAATGTTGGTGCTCTTGACGTGCTTGTGCACAAAAGTCAATGGATTTGGAGCTGGAGTTTTGGGCAGACATTTCGATTCAGGGGAAGGAGGCTTTCACCACCCCGTTGAGGGAGTTGTCCAGGGAGTCCCAAGACAGGCCTATATGCATTCATGCCACGGACAACTTGCAGAGGCTAGCAAAATCGGCGGGGATCGTCCGGAAGAAAGGGAGCTTCGTGGGGAACTTCATCGAGCTTCACCAGCGTCCACTCTGGATGCATGCTTTTGCAAGGGCAAGCAAGTATATATTTGCTACGAGAATGAGGAGAGTGTGAATCTCCGGGAGGTGCTGCACAGCTCTGTGTTGTCAAGCTGGATATCATAGCTCTAGGTTGTGTGCTAGGCCTCAACTATCTCCATGACCACAAGGTGGCTACATATATCATAGCTCTAGGTTGTGTGCTAGGCCTCAACTATCTCCATGACCACAAGGTGGCTACATGGAAGCAGTCATATATTTAGTTAAAGTTTAAAAAATTAATACATTATTCTGAAATAGTTTAAGTTTTTTAAAAATATTATCAAATATCTAATTGAATAGTTAAATTAAAATTTACACCATTAAATATTTCAAAATTAATTTATAAATTAATTACATTTCCTTTTATTTGATTTTGTTATTAAAATGGGAGTACTCTCTTGTCTCAATGACTCCTTCTACGGTGGCCAATGTGGGGAAATTTGAAATTGACTTTACCCCAGAGTGGGAGAAAATTCTTTCTTTAGGAGGAGCAAAACACTTCAATATTTCTATCTACTCCTTGATAACACACTCAAAAATTTATTTCTGAACTTTATATTTTAAAATTTTACTCCAAGATATATACTTTTATAATAAAAATAAAATAAAAATAATTTTAAGGCTTATAATTAAGATGAAAAATATTAAATTAATTTATATAAAATACTAATACAATAAATAAAATTAATATATATACTTGATTATAAGATGAATAAACTCATCTATAAATGCATATCCTTATAAACTACTAATAAGTTTTCATTATTAAATAAAAATAAACTTAAAATTATATTATATTATATAAAATGTGTGCTTCCAGACAAATGAATATACTTTTATTTATTGAATAATCACATGTACTCTTTATATGAATTTTAATATAAAGTATATTTTTAATAATTTAGTATTAAAATATCTGTAAAACTTATAAAGAAAAATCATGTTAAATAAATAGTATTACATTATAATAAAATAAATAAATAAGAATAAGAATAAGAATTTCAAAAACAAAAAATAAAAGAAGGAAAAATTATTTTTATTAAAAGTAATATTTAAGAATAAATAATCAAAGTATTGTCAAAAGTTATTCATTTATTTTGAGTGTTCTTTCCTTTTTGTTAGCAAAGATCTAAAATCTAAAATAATAAATTTATCTAATATCTTTATTTATTTTTACAAAAATACAAAAATTAACTTGCTAGAAAGGCAAACACTCTTACCTTGTTCTTCATCTTAAGTTTTTAAAGCTTTAAGCCTACTTTTTCCAATTTTCTATGATCAAGACAAACAATTAACCTTAATTGGTGATTTAAAGTATTAGCAAATTCAGGCATTGTGCAAGAAATATAAAATTCGTGCAAATGAGCACAAGGAAGTGATGCTCAAGGAACTTATAACTTTTGCCAATCTCTAGGATGGTGGCAACATGGCTTTGATATTGTGCTTCAATCCCAATCTACACACCCCGAGAAGAATAACAAATATAACCTCAAGTAATGGTAGAAACATATGGGTCTTCATAGAAGATTCTAGTATCAAAAGATATATTAGTTTATGTTTTAATGAATTACATAACAATTTATTATGAAATCTTTTGCTTAATAATAGTTTTGTTATTACTTATTAATCCAATTAATCAAATAAAGTTTATATTATAAGTATAATTGTAATTATAAACACAAGATTAATCTTATTGCATATTAACCATTAGATGATAGAATAAAAAAATATACTAGAAAGGATTTAAGAAAGTTAATAAATTATAAATACAAGATTAATCTAAATGAATAACAACCGTTAGATGGTAGAATATCTTAGAATATTCAAGCATATTTTAGGTATATTCACTAGTATCAAACCAAAAACAAACTTTACTTTAATATTTATTTTAAATACACAAGAATATATCGAGATACGCTTATAGGAAGGTGCGTTCTTTGCACTTGCAGCAGACCATTCTTCACCAGGCTTTTTTGTGCCATGGTTGGAAATTTTTGAAACGAGATGGTGAATAAACTGGATGGAATGGTGTCAATTCTTGCTCACTCATTGGGATGGATTGGTGATTGGGAGCTTCAGCGTTGTGATTTGGGGATTTGGAGATCTCGAGACCTACGCATCGCTCCTCCGGCAATGCACGAGCGCCACGGCTCTGGATCTCGGGCAGCTCCTTCACGAGGAAATCCTGTTCTCCCAAACGTAATCGCAGCATCCATTCCTGGGAAATCGCTCAAGTTGTGAGGCAAGAGATGGATTTGGAAAATCGAAGCGCGGAATAAGATTGAGAAGAAGATCAAGAATGCGCTTAAAAATTGCCCATCACATCCTTCTTGGACGAAACACTGTAAAAGCTTCTGTGGATTTATAAACGAAATTATATTATCGTGAAGAATTACCAATCGATAGAACCTCCATCACAGCTTTACGCATTGAATCTTACAGACTTTGAAGACTTTCCCAGGGCTCGTGATGACTAATCATCAACGAGCACTGAGGAATCGAACGTAATTGCAGCATGTCCTGTGGTTTATGATTTCCAAGCGCTCAAGTTGTGAGGCACAATCCATGGGGGCACTTCTAAGAGCAAGAGATGGATCTGGGAGAAGAATCAAAGCGCAGACAAGGATTGCAAGAGGGACCATTTCACGAGATGGATGGAGTTAGATTGAGAATGCACTTAAAACGTGACACTGGTAAAGAAATCTCCATACAGAGAATCCTTTTCGTTTTGGCTCGCAACTATAGAGCTACTTTTTAAACATTTTCTGTAAATGGCGCTTAAAAACATTTGGTCAGCGCATTCCAACCGTCCGGTCAAAATAGTCAACGTGACGCATAGCTGGAACGCCTCTAGTTTGGGTCGTCCGCCGGTACCGCGCGTCATACTCTGGGCAAGTTATTGTATGAAACGTCCATCGGAGGACTCGATCACTCTCATCAAGTCCTCGTTGTATCTCAGAACCTGAAATTGGCGCCTCAGACCCACAAATATAAGCCTTGTCCATTACCTCGTTTTGTATCAGCTCCACTTCGTCGTGTAAGGCCTTGAGCCCGGCTTCTTTCTTCGACCGAGCCTCGTTTAAGTTACTTGTGATCATTTCCACCTGCAAAAGAATTTGAATCTGAAGAGCAAACCAAATCAAGCGTTCGTACCTCGTCTTGCTTTCTCGCGATTTGCTCTTCCTGTTTATCCAGTTGATCAATCAGAGGCGCATTTTGCAACCTGAAATCTTCAAGCTCCTTGTCCGCCTCCTGGCACTTGACGTCGAAGGACGAATCTAGCTTCTCCAGTAGATTGTGAAAATGCTGGCCTGAAAGATACTTGAGTTAGTATCACATGTGAATACCAAGTTGTCACCTTCGATTTTCAGCTTTTCCAGCTGCGCACTGATAACCGAATGCTTCTCTTCATTCTCTTTAAGTTTCATCTTCATCTCCTTCGAATCTTTCACCATTTTCTTCTGAAGAGCCGCCTGTACAGCAAAACAAGTCAATCCGTCGTGCGAGTCGAGCGAGAGTAACGAAATTACCTGCTTGTCCAGCGAGTCCATCATATCAAGGCATTTTTGCACTTTCCTTTTCGCCTAAGAGGTTGCAACATGATATAAGTTTTGCTCGGCCAAGGAAAGACAAAAAAAAAAAAAAAACAAGTTAACGCACTTTTGTGTATGCCTCGTACTTGTGCTTCCATTTGACGACAGATTGACGGGCCGATTCAACCTCAGCTTCCGCATTCTGAACAGCCGCCCTCCTGTCTTCAAGCATTTTCTGGAAAGGGAGCCCAACGTTAGACCGAAAAGAACAACAAAAAGGAAAAGTAGAATATAGAATTTCAGAGCTTACCCGAAGCTTGTCGGGAGATTGTACAATCTGTGTCCGCAGCTGGAACCCTTCTTGTTTCATTTGAGCAACAGAGGCTTTCTCGCTTACAATCTAAATACAAACCAACATCTCACTGTTTAGGAAGAAGAAAAAAACTCCACAGTCCCTCACCTTTTCAGTCAGCTTATTCAGCTCCTCTTTGATCCCGCGTATGTCGCTTTGCAACACGGCCTGTTGTTTGTTGAGAGCGTAGATTTTCTGCTCCAGTTCTTTCGCCTCCACGGATAATTTCTGGACTTGAGGCTCCTCAGCTTTTCGCTCCGCCTCGTTTTGAGCAATTGCGTTTTGAAGCTAAAGATGAAGAAATGAGCATGTTCTTGTCACAGAAAGAAAGCAGCCTTCTCACCTGTATCCTGGTTTCTTCCAATTGCTGGATTCTGTCCACAAGCTCAGTCTCGGTATCTGGAAGTTCCCTCTCCGCTCTATGCAAAATCAGCATTCTCGAGTGTGATTTATAGAAGAAAGAGGAAAGAAAACAAGAAAAAAAAAACTCCACACCTGAAGTATGCAAAGTTGATCACAGCGCTCAGCGCGTGGACTGTTCTAGCCGGCTCCGGCCTGAAAATATCCCTGGTTCCGAAATCATCCACACCAGCGGCATGCATGAGCTTGGAAATCGCACGAAACGACGCCAGAGTCCCGACTGAATCAGCATAGAGCTCCTGATGCCGCACGCAATCCAAGGCGCCAAGAACGGGCTGCTGGAGCTCATTCCTAGAAAGACGCTCACTCATGGAGAAAGAACGGATTCCATCGCTTACCTGGGGATTCCCACAAGGTATTGCACCAGATTCTCGTATAGCGGCCAGATGATCTCCCTAGACGGCTTTACCAGATTCTCCTCCGAGAGGTCGGTCACGCCGATCTGCGCCAGGCACTTGAGGATCTCCTTCCTCTCGAGCGTGGGGAACGAGTAAGTGTTGCGTGACCCGGCCATGGAAGAGCATAAACCCTAGAAAACAATTTGGCGGGAAGAGTTTAAACTCTATACACGTTGCCCGCCATGCTGGGTGCCACGCGATCACATTGACCCTAGCAGTGTGCTCGTTGACTAAATTGACCAGGCGCGTTGACTGGCACCGTATCACGTTTTCGAGATGAAAAAATCCGCTATTGTTGTCGGCTTTCCTCGCTTGTTTCTTTGGACACCCAGTCTACCCTGTAATTCTTGCTGGATTTCAGAGGGAAGCTCTGCAAACACGCTGTGATCGATCTCTTCCTGCTTATACTCCCAAGCCACAGTTTCTTCCTTCCTCTCCGGTTGGAGTGATGCTTTTCTCTGCCAGAGATCTGTGAGCTTCGCTGGTTTTCTTGACGGCGGTGGTGAGATGGATTCCGGAATGGAGCCGTCTGTGGGAACACTAGCGCCAGCCCTGTCTTCCTCAAGACGTACCTCCTTGGAGATCGATGGGCACTGTTGTTGCTGCTCACTGGCGTTTCCAGGGTCCCCTGTTACTGGAGGCCGCGTGCCAAAGTACTGAGTGATTGGGTTTACTCCCTGGAAAGACCAAACAACATCCTTACTAATGGTTTGAAAAGATCACGTCTTTACCATCGGCTTCGCCATGATATTTGATGCAGTAAGAGAAAGTCCTGTCACTGCCCAGCTGCTGGTTATCTCGCTTTGCTCCTTTCCAGCTGACTGGTGAGAACAAAACTCGTGCAAGCTTCGCTCAAAGAGGTATCGGCTGTCCTCTACGATCTTGTCTACGCCATATCTTAAAGGCCGCGACTTTGAGGAGAACTTTGGAGCCTCCGTGGCTCGTCCTTCCTGAAACCAAGAGAGCGATAAGTAAGGACCAAAACACAAAAGTTTAGCTGAGACTTACAATGTGACAGCTCGCATGAATTGTGAGAAGATGCGCGGTGCGATTGTTTTGTGAAAGATCTTCGTCCAAACGAAGTTGAAGAGTTTCTGCTAGCTCCTTAAGCCAATATACAACCTGTAAGAGAAATGTCGCTCTGTTAATTCATGCGTAGTCAAGAAACTAACCTTACAGTCTCAAGTGTTTTCAACGCCCGAGGACCTGGAAACGTTTTACCGCTGCTGTGACTTTTTGGAAGCGTTCGATCTTGAACCTCGTCCCCGTTTATGCCGCGAGCAGTATTCCACAGCCAAGTCCTACCGCAAAAGAAGATGAGTTAAAGGCTCGATAGACTCGGAATAAAGTTCCTTACCCAGTGTTTGGGCCATACATATCCTGCAATTTCACTTCGGAAAACTGCAAGAGATCTCCAACCGTTTTTACTCCAAGCTCCCCTTCAAGTTCTTGTCCAAGCTTGCCTCCTAGTTTTCCGCTGAACACAAGATCCATACTTGTATAACCAAAAGAAAAAAGTAATCAACGAGAGCTACATTTTACTTATAGGCAAGGTTGCGAGTAAAGATTCAACCGCCGATGACGGGACTAACGTTTGTTGAGCAGGCTTGTGCATTCCACTCGAGAGCTTCGCAAGCATCTACACAAGACCGGAATCACTTAGTCCCCCAAAACGTAAAACATACTTTGTTGTGAGCTACGCCGGCTGAACAAGTAAATTCAGTTTCAGCTAGAACTGCCAAACGAATGTCCGCAACGATAATTGCGCCACACGCTAGCAAATGATCTTCGCGGCTTGCATCCGGCCTACAAAACCATTCTTTCGTGCCAAGCTCCTACAACGCACACACGCCAAGTCATAAACCACGGCAGAACTTTCAAGCCATCGCACCTGGGGAAGTCCAACAATATGGGACGTCGATGCTTCCTCGCTCACGAGCGTCGACAAATCCTTTGAAGAAAGCCTCTTGGCAGCCTCGGTAACGTCAAGGTACACTTCGTCAATGGAGGCTCTCTCGCATTTTCCAACGCGCGAAAGCACTGCAACCACCTGGAAATGGAAGAAATAGCGACCCCTTGCACTTTTTTCTTGGACTTACTTCGGAGCCAGCGTCTCGATAGATTGAAAGATCAGCCTTTTCGTGCAGAACAGGCACTTGAACCAGATTGAGATCCGGGCACACCGCCTTTGCAGCATCACCTCGCATTGAGCTGAAGAAAAGAAAAAGAAAAAGAAAAACACCTTCGCTGCTTAAAAGTTACGAAATCTTAGGAGCTTACCGTTTGACACCGCATTTGCGAGCTTCGTAGCCAACAGCGATGCAAGCTCCACCCTTCCAAGAATTGTACTGAATCACGGCCGTGGGCTTCCCCCGCAACTGGGGCTGCCTTCGCTGCTCCACTGCATCAAGAAAAAACCACCAATCAACAAGCGCCGGAAAGCTCTATTCCCACACCTTGGACGTAGAAGCAATCGAGATCAACGTGCGCTATTACCCGAATGCGGCTCGCGGGGCGCCTTGCCAGTGGCATCTCTCGCCCTAATTTCAAACCAGGAAGATGCAACAAAATTAGTGCAAGAGAATCGAACTGCAGACTCTTCGTCACATGATTATTTTATTTCTTGAATACTGATGCAAAGCCGCGAAGATCACTTACATTTGTTTGGCAGTTCTAGCTGAAACTGAATTCACTTCGGCGTAGCGCACAACGAGAACCTGGTAAAGCCGTCTAGGGAGATCATCTGGCCGCTGTACGAGAATCTGGTGCAATACCTTGTGAGAATCCCCAGGTAAGCGATGGAATCCATTCGTTCTCCATGGGTGAGCGTCTTTCTCGTCTTAGGAATGAGCTCCAGCAGCCCGTTCTTGGTGCAAGCCGCGAAGTTCACTTGCTAGCGTGTGGCGCAATTATCATTGGACATTCGTTTGGCAGTTCTAGCTGAAACTGAATTCACTTCGGCGTAGCTCACAACAAAGTATGTTTTACGTTTTGAGGGACTAAGAGATTCCGGCCTTGTGTAGATGCTTGCGAAGCTCTCGAGTGGAATGCACAAGCCTGCTCAACAAACGTTAGTCCCGTCTTCAGCGGTTGAATCCTTACTCGCAACCTTGCTTATAAGTAAAATGTAGCTCTCTTGATTACTTTTTTCTTTTGTTTATACAAGTATGGATCTTGTGTTCAGCGGAAAACTAGGAGGCAAGCTTGGACAAGAACTTGAAGGGGAGCTTGGAGTAAAAACGGTTGGAGGTCTCTTGCAGTTTTCCGAAGTGAAATTGCAGGATATGTATGGGCCAAACACTGGGTAAGGAACTTTACTCCGAGTTTATCGAGCCTCTAACTCATCTTCTTTCGCGGTAGGACTTGGCTGTGGAATACTTCTCGCGGCATAAACGGGGACGAGGTTCAAGATCGAACGCTTCCAAAAAGTCACAGCAGCGGTAAAACGTTTCCAGGTCCTCAAGCGTTGAAAACACTTGAGACTCTAAGGTTAGTTTTCTGACTACGCATGGATTAACAGAGCGACATTTCTCTTACAGGTTGTATATTGGCTTAAGGAGCTAGCAGAAACTCTCCAACTTCGTTTGGACGAAGATCTTTCACAAAACAATCGTACTGCACAGCATCTTCTCACAATTCATGCGAGCTGTCACATTGTAAGTCTCAGCTAAAATTTTGTGTCTTGGTCCTTACTTATCGTTCCCTTTGTTTCAGGAAAGTCGTGCCACGGAGGCTCCAAAGTTCTCCTCAAAGTCGCGGCCTTTAAGATATGGCGTAGACAAGATCGTAGAGGACAGCCGATACCTCTTCGAGTGAAGCTTGCACGAGTTTTGCTCTCACCAGTCAGCTGGAAAGGAGCAAAGTGAGATAACCAGCAGCTGGGCAGTGACAGGACTTTCTCTTACTGCATCAAATATCATGGCGAAGCCGATGGTAAAGACGTGATCTTTTCAAACCATTAGTAAGCATGTTGTTTGCTCTTTCCAGGGAGTGAATCCAATCACTCAGTACGTTGACACAAGGCCTCCAGTAACAGGAGACCCTGGGAACGCCAGTGAGCAACAACAACAGTGCCCAGTGATCTTCAAGGAGGTACATCTTGAGGAAGACAGGGCTGGCGCTAGTGTTCCCGTGGTGTTCCCACAGACGGCTCCCTTCCGGAATCCATCTCACCACCACCGTCAAGAAAACCAGCGAAGCTCACAGATCTCTGGCAGAGAAAAACATCACTCCAACCGGAAGAAACCGTGGTTTGGGAGTATAAGCAGGAAGAGATCGATCCCAGCGTGTTTGCAGAGCTTCCTTCTGAAATCCAGCAAGAATTACAGGGTAGACTGTCCAAAGAAAACTAGTGAATGTTTTACCGCTGCTTCGACAACTGTACCTAGCCTTTTAAACCGGATATCTTAGGTCAGGTCAGTTTGTAGGGGCGAGCGCAATGTTTTCCAGGTTTCGCTCTAGGAATCTCTCCTCCCTAGTTACACACAGAAGAAACCTCCATAAGGAGAGGACCGTGGCCTCGTTCTCGGATCAAGACCACTTGAAACACGAGAAAAAAGCCTTGCTTCGAAAACTCAAGTGCCCCAATTCATCACCGCTCGATGTCGTGTCCCAATTTGTTGCAAAGGCTGCCCTGCAAGGGTGGAGTGACGAGGTCATGAGAGAGGCAGTGGCGCGGGATTTGCACGAAGAAGAGTGTCTCAGTAGCTTGGTGGCTGAATGGGACTATGCCCACTCGGACGAGACGTTGTTCCTGGTGCTGGGTTTGTTCTATATTGCTCGCCTCTCTGACGCCGAGAGGAGCGCGTGTGCTGCATCGGATGTCCCGGAACAGCTGCATTGCATGGTTGATTTCGCCCGCCAGGAGCTGCTCTCTTGTACTGGACGAGCTGCATTTCTACAAGGCTTGGCCTCCAAGCAAGACGAGGACGTGACGGAGCACTTGGAGCTCCTGTGGGCGCAATTCTGTAAAAAGAGGAACATTCAGGGTTTGTCAGTTAGTTCTTTCAAAGCTTAGTCATGTTTTAACACCAGTTTCTTTGTTTTGGGAGTGAGCTCCGAGGAGCCGGAACGGCAGACTATATATGAGTATTATCCGGCAGAGCCTTACCGTAAGCCTTCTAATGGAGAATTCAGATGTAAGAGTCCTCTGAGTTCTTAAAATCTGTTTCTTGTTTTCGTTAGCGACTTCTTTCCAGGGCGCTGCTCCCCATCACGAGGGGATCATGAGGTCCTGGTAGACATGACGAGCACAAGAAGGTCTTCCATTTCTTCGTATGGCACCATGATGGTGCCAAAGCTCTTCGGTTTGGTACCCCGAATCTTGGAAAGCAGCTTCTTTTTAACTTATCCAACGGACAGGCTGGTGAGTATAAGCAAGCAGAGTTACGGGCACTGATTTGTTTCCTCCCTCCTCTGTGATTGCAGGGATGGAACAAGCTTGCCGTTTTACGTGAACGCCAGGAGCATGGAGTGAATATAAAGTGGGGTTACTCCCGGCTTGCATCGCATCCGGGAATTCCACCTTTCAAAGAAAGGGTGGACTTTCCCGACGGGATTCCTGCGGGGCCTTTTCTGGGGAGAGAATTGGCGCTGCTGTTCCAAGGGATGGTTAACAACAAGCTCCTGCGAGCACTCACTCTCGAGAGGCCACCGCTGTCTGTGCTGCCGCACTATTATGCCGTCTTAGTTTGTGCGCAACACGCACGCGCGTGGTTGGGACGCTACGACCTCCGGATCTATTATAACCACGACTTAACTTGTAAGGAACAATCTCTCCTCTTAAAGTTGTGTTTTTTGTGATGTTTTGTATTGTTGTTTTTTTGGAGATGGACGGCTTGGCACACAGGACGCTACTGAGGAGGAGGAAGAGGAGGTGAATGTTAACATGTGTTTATTTGCTAATTTTATTTTATTTTATTTTATTTGCAAAGGTTTGGCTGAATGGCTTTCGTAAAGAGCGTACCCCATCTACGATCGAATACATTTTAAGACGCGATACTGTGAATAACATGTGGTATGTGTTATCAAGTATTTTTGTTTTAATCTTTTCAATGTTACTTTGAAAAAGGGATTTACTTAAGGATCATATGCTTATTAACATGCGGCCAAAGGACTACGATTTAGCAAAACCACCCAACACGCCAATGTGGCGTGCATTCAAACAATACATTGGGCATCCTAGGCTTATTTACCCCTATCCAGTTATGACACAGCCCGTGCTACGTGAGATCCAATCGACATACACTGAGGTTCTTGATTTGGAGACTAAGTCAAAACAAAGTAAAGATGGCCTCTTTCCACCCGCTCCTGAGGAAAATGTAAAGCTTGAGGAGGTAAAGATTGAGAGTTGGATGTAAGGAAATAAAAAGATTATATTATTTAAAAAGTGATTTTAGCTTTTTTACATTTGAAATTTTTTTTTGAGAGGCACCTGTATGCTCAGGAGAGCTTGAAGGAATCATTTACCGGAGCTGTTAAGGGATGAATATTTATTTTTTCTTTCTTTTCAATTTTTCCCTGTAATTCCGATGATTTTCTTCTTGCTCTTGGGGGGTTTTGCATGTTTTAAATCTTCTTGATTTTGCTAAACCTTTGTTTGCATCGGGATTACATGGCATGCTCTCTTAATACCAAAATTTAAAGTGAGATAGGATGTTATTGGACTTTTTAGGATGAGCAAAAGTTTGATTTTTTCTTTTTATATCAGAAGTTATTAATTCTTGCATGTGAAAAATTATGTAAAACCCATGTGACTTTAGATGGCATAGGTTGCTTCCTAAAATTACAAAGGTATGCTTTATAACAATCACTTATTCAATATATAACAAAGCCATGAGCTCCACTAACATAGATTTTAGCATTCATTTGATCTTTGAGTTAATTATAATTTTCATTTTCAAAAAGAAATTCTATTTCCACATTCTTTAGCCTCCTGTAAGTTGTATTAGGCCATATATGGCAATTAATATGTGATTGCACATGTTACACTATATATTTATACTTGTGTGGGTTTATTTTTTTGTTTTGAGTTGATATTATGCACAAATATGGGATATACCATGTATGCATGGGGTATAACACCTCAAACACCCACAAATGTGATATGAGTGTAAATTTATAATTTTCTAATCATCTCTTTCTTCTTTTATGTGCTTTTTATTCACCTTTTATTCCATGTGGCTATGCCTAAATTTTTGTAACTTGGAGGCTTTATTGCAATCATAACACGAACTAATGTAAGTATGGTGGTTCTTGCAAAAGTTTTTTATTTTTCATAGTCTGTTTGCTATGGGACACTTTAATTTAAATACTGATCAATTGTTATAGAAGTGAATGCAATTGATTATAACATATAGGTGAGTAAAAAAGTTTTTCTTGGAAGTTTGGGACATTGGGTTTTTCTCTGAGTAACTACATCTGCTTGTAGCTGTAATAAAATATTAGTTCCATTTATTTCTCGCATTCTTAATCATGTGCATATATTTTTGGTATTATAGTGATTTATTTGTTGTACTTGTCTTAATATGAAAAAAAAATTCCATCCCCAAGCACACAGCAATAACAAACTTAAAATGCTCAAAATCCAGCTCGCAAGTTCAAAAAATATTATGCCCTTGAGTCCTAACCCAAAGTTTAAACCTTGCTTACATGTCATAAAATTTAACATAGAATTGAAATCTATGTAGTGCAAAAACTCAAAAACATAACATTGAATTGAACTTTGCCATACATGGCAAACACAAATATATGGCTATGCATCAAAAAACATTATGTTCAAAAATACTATTCACATATATATGTTATAACAATTCAAGCACACATATGTTTTTTTTATATATTTTAAGTTTGTTGCCATAGGTATACCTCCCCTCATGGGTGTACCTTCCCAAAAATTACCATCACAATTTATTTAACTATCTTTTATCTTTGATTTATTCTAGATTGAGAGAATAGTTAGAGAACACTTATAGTTTTTGGAGGTTGTGATGCTGACGTCGATGGACGACGCTTATACCAGGCTAGGCGAGGCAAGCCAGGTGTTTCATCTCTTCCACAGAACAACATGACTTTGCTATGGATGAAGGCTGAAGTCTCTTCGGCTCAATGGCTTCCAGATATGCCATCTCTCCCGGCTTCGAGCACCACCACTGCATGCTCGACATATTTTGTCGTGCAAACCAGCTGGACGCTGCCATGCAACACATACGATCTATACCTTTGGTGACATGGAGGACGGTCTTTGGTGCTTGTCGGAAGTGGAAGAATGCAGTGCTTGGGAAGCTTGCTTTCGAGAATCTACTGAATCTGGAGGACTCCGAGTTTGGAGTTTATATCCTGATGGAACAGATATACTGGAGCCAGGGAATGTGGGAAGAGCAGGCCAGGATTGAGACGATCAGGAGGAAGAAATGCATAATGCAGCACCCCCTTCTCTTACATGGCTACCCCCTAAAGATGCTTGGAGGAGGCCAGGACAGGGTCGCAGCTGGTGGACGGACAGCACGGGAGTGCCACATAAGTTCTCGGGCTGCTGATTCCAGTAATCGATATTCCAGTAATCGATAAGCACTCGATGACTACTGTTCACTCGTGTATCCAGGGTCTCCTGTTACTGAGTGATTGGGTTTACTCCCTGGAAAGAGCAAACATCCTTAATAATCGTTTGACAGAAGTTTAGACCGTGTGATGGGCCAGTGAAGGCGGCTACTGCTGAAAGCATTAGTTAAGAAGGTAAAGCAATCACTAATAAGAAATTTATACCTGGATGAGGTGAGGGAACTTATACATGAATGCGTATGTGATGTGATCTGCTGCATCACCTGCCGATACATTTCATGTACTTTGGCAGCAGTACACTCTTCTGGATGGCTGTTGTTGCATGTCACAGGCGAGAACTCCAGAAACGGAGTCTTTGACCCATCCTTCTCGACGACAAAGACGAAAATGAACTGTCGTCTGTCGATCTTGCTCCACCTGTGCTTTGCACAAGCGACATGGTCCACGAGCACGTGTGCCTGGAGCTCCCTTGCGTACCTGTGTCATAGTTAAACAATGATGAACTTTATAGATGCATTTCTGATATATACCTCTTCTGTGGAGATAAACTTCCAAACAAGTGAATGAATTCTCGCTGCAAATTCCCATGTACTCTCCACTCAGAAGCCTTCTCCAAAACCTGCTTGTAGATTTGGCATCGCACTCGAAACCTTCGTAGGCTGCAAAAATATCTTGATTAGACTAGAAAGGAAGAAAAAAAAGAAGAGAAGAGTTTACTTGTATGGGAGCCTGGACGATTCAACTGGTGGATTCACCGTGGATGTCAGGATCCCCAATGGTTCTGCCTTGAGTAATCTGGCTGTAAAGCCAAAGATCTTCTTTGTCGAGACTTCCATCCTTGGTAGGAGCCGCAACACTCTTTTTGACCTCTCCTCATGCTCATCGAAACTTGCTATGTCGATGGAGTGTCCTGCCCGGGCCATCTCTGCCAAGAGGCTCTTGTAGCAACGCGAGCTCAACCTCAAACCCACCTCCCTACATTTGATGTAGAGCGCATAAATCCTTTCCACCATGCCTCTGCGGCCAAAAGCTTCAACTACGGACTGAAATGCTGGGGGCTCCACGAAACTGCCATCCTTGCGGTCGATCACTCGTCCCAAATAGTCCATGATCTCTTCCAGCCGGCCACTCTTCCAGCCGGCCACTCTGTGCGTACACCTCTACAACGTAGCTCTGGAACGCCCACGTCGACGCAATCTCTGGAGTCGTCTCCACAAACTCGATAAGCTTCTCTATCCCTTCCACGGTTGCAGTCCTGCTGTGAGCCTTAGCGGCCTCCTCAACCGCCGGAACCGCGATGTTGTGCGGCAGCTGGGAGTTCTCCGCTCGCATCTCGCCAAGAACCTGGTGGAACCTGTCCAGCGCGTCCAGGCGAGCGTAGCCGATGAGCAGCGCTGCAAAAGTCTCCGAGCTGCGCTTGAAACCTCTGCAAACCTGCTCCATCTCCTGGTACGTGCTCTCGAACCGGTCCCTGCGTCCCATTTTTGCGTAGGCGTGCAAGAGCGTGTTGAAAGTTATTGCGTCCGGCAAGACCCCGGCATCCCGGCACTCCCTGACCATGACCTCGAGGCCTTGCCAGTTGTGGTAGTGCGCAAACATGGCGGTGAGGATGTGGCACGTCATGGCGTTTGGCGGGCACTCGCGGGAGAACTCCTTCATACCGTGGAAGATTTGCATGGCACTGTCGAGGTCCCTGGCCTTGGCGTATGCAATGATGAGAGCATTGCAGCACTCGCTTGATTTCTTCCCTTCGATCATCACGTTGCCAAACCATCTCCGTGCCAGGATTGTGTGGCCGACCACGCCGGCATAGGAGATCATCATCGCGTAGAGCCGGTCGAGCTCCATCACCGTCGCGGACTTTAGAACAGCCTGATTTGTTAGTTTCATCCAGGTGAAGATCTAGGAACAAACTTATTAGACCGGAGAACAAAGATTAAAAACTTGAGAAGAATTGTTCTACCTCGAGCGTATGGTGGTGCACTGGACCGGCCATTAGATCGCGCACCAGTGGCATCCAGAAGGCCCCAAAGTCTCTCACATTCTTATGCTTGGCGAGGACGGTCTGAATATCTTTCCCATTTTCTATTTGGATCCGGACGATCTGCGCGGCACGGCCTGGATATGGCCTCTTGTTACCCCGGACTCCAGCAAGTGTGGATCCACCGGTGGAGGTGGCTGGAGTGGATCCCTGCTGCTCCAACCCCACAATGAATTCGAGGTAAGGAGCATCACTCCATGCATCGACATCATAATCCTGAGGTTTGACAGCCAGATCGGGCATTCTTGCGATCTTACCGATTCCACGGGATAGAACCGCTGGAGGTCTGAAAATCCTGCCAAGCACGCGGAGAAGCGCTCTGCCATCGCTCGCCATCGCTCGCCATCGCCATTCGTGAATTTGAGAACCCTCGCATCAAGATCAATCACCACCGTTAGGTCCGACGTTTTAAAACTAGCCGTCGATTCGCCACGGCTAGGGTTTTCACGCTGGTTCAGGCGCGAAAACTCTTTGACTAGCGATGGAGCTGGATCGCGCGAAGCTCCTGTTTGCTCACCCCCCACGACGCTGTGGATCCGTGCTTGTAAGTTATCAGAGAGCAGCTCCAGAGATGCCATCGCCGGGGAATTCTGCCACGGTCAACGCGGGACTGACTTTGAGGAATCCTCTCCTTCCAAGAATAATTGCCCGGTCTTTGTGTCGATCAATGCCAGTAGACAGAGGATCTGCGACGCGATCGATATTTTCCCGGTTGTAGATTCCATGACACCGAAGAAGGGCTTGTGGAAATTTAGGGAAAATCAAGAGTTTCGAAAGCGCGGGATTGTGGACACGGATTCGATGGAGGACCGAGGTACGAATTTTAGCCACGCTAAGAAGCAGGACCCAGCATTTACAAGCCAGAGGTGAAGTGTCATGAAGACGAACGACGAGGAAGGGAATGCTTCGGGTGAGTGGAAAAAACCAATGTCCTTGTGGCCAAACAAGCTCTGGAAAACTCTGAGGAGCGATCAAGACCAGCGAGATTTAGGCTCAAGAACAGTGGAAACTTTGATGCGCTTTGCTGCTGCGGTCGAGGACGACGATGACGACTCTTCGAAGAAGAGCAACGAGGAACCGAGGCGTGAGGAAGAGGAGAGAACCTGAGGAAGCACCTGTTTCTCAAAGGTTCGAGGAGTACTCTGGGAAGGACGATTATCCGGGCGAGAATGATAAGCCTATCTCCAGAACCAGGGTCTTACGGGGATGTGAGTGGAGTTGTCGAAGATCCAAACTGTTGACGAGGGTGATCTAGAGGATGACTTCGATTCCGACGAGCACGATAGGAGCTCTTCGGTAAGGACTACTACAACGAAGAGGATTCAGAGTTCAGTCTGGTGACAGTGAAGCAGCAGGCTGGATTACGATGACGACGTTCTGGGGATAGAGAAGAGTGACGACGAATAGTAAAGAGGTGCCAACGCGGTTGAAGTGTTTGCAGATATTGGATGCGGACGAGAAGGAGCTCAAACAGTACGTGTCATTGAAGGCAATGGCACCATACAGGACGGAGGAGTGGTGCCGATGCTCCTGTTCTAGGGAACACATGAAGATCAAGAAAAGGAAGAAGCAGCAGCAGGAAGAACCGTGTGAAAGAATTTCTACGCTATGGCGAGCGATGCCACTGGCGAGGCGCCGCGCACGTCGATCTCGACTGCTTCTACATCCAAGGTGTGGGAATCGAGAGCCCTGATGCTCAATCTATCGAGACGAAGTAAATCCAAGAGGAAGTGCAAGAATTCGACGGTTCTTCCATTTCCAGGTGGTTGCTACGAAGTCCTTGACATTACCGAGGCTGCCGAGAGACGATTTGTCGACGCTCGTGAGCGAGGAAGCATCGAAGTCCCATATTGTTGGGACTTCCCCAGGACCTGTCTTGGTTTATGACTTGGCCGCTATAGGAGCTTGGCACGGAAGAATGGTTTTCTAGGCCTGATGGAAGCCGCGAAGATCGTTTGCTAGCGTTTGGCACAATTATCGTTCCGGACATTCGTTTGGCCGTTCTAATTCACTTGTTCAGCCGGTGTATCTCACAACAAAGTATCTTTAACGTTTGAGACTAACACATTCTTGCGAAACACTCCAGTGGAATGCTACAAAAAGTCATTTCCTATATTTGAAATATATTGAGGAAATTGCGAATGAAGGCATTGAAGAACCTGTGAGTGATTCGAAGAAAAGAGTGAGATTTTTATGATTCGATTTGTGCAGACAAAGTCGGAGTTGATCGAAGGCGTATGGAGATTAATTAATGTACACAACAAGGCCCAGCACTGCATGCCCGATTCAAGTTAAAACTTCTACTACAAACATTCATTTTATTCACCGCCTTGACTTTTTTGTAGAGGACTATTGTGGGAGTTTTCCAGGACATCAAACTCAGCGATCGCAGCGACCAGAGGGTGTCAAACATTGTAAAGTTTTCCGAGAAAATTAAGCAAACATAGTTTGCTTGTTTCTTTAACTTTGGAGAAATCTTCCAGGACGAAGCTAGGTCTAAAAGGATCAGCTTTCGTTTCGACCGGGCCGCATTCTCTTTCTCGTTCCTTCCATTCAAAGTTCCATACCAGGCGACGAGGCCAAAGGATGGGTCGACCGACACAACTTATCTCTCTCCCTCTGGAAATGTTCGAATCTCAAGAGGCAAAAAAGTACACAACTAGACAGTATATCACTATCTCATTGATGCCAGGGGCCAACTTTTGTCCTGAAAAAGACCTTGGACCCTCGGCAGCGGCTGCTTGCAGCTATGTCCTCCAAAAAAGACGTCGCAAAGCTCTAAGAACCTTAGGCTTCAAGAGGAAGTGAAACCAAATTCTCGGCAGCTGGGATGCTCAGTGCTTCTTAACGTCCAATCCCAGCGGCAGGCTGGCGGCGAGCTCCTCGCCGCAGCCCAAGACCCCCGATCCGGCAAGGGCGTCGATGACCGCTCCATAGTCGTGCTCCGCCACTATGAGTAAGCCTCCCGCAAGAGCCAAGCGTTGAGAATGCCCAGGAATGTGATGCTGTCCAGCGCGAAGCCCTGGAGCTGCATCAGTCGGGTGGTTTGGTGGCTTGGTTACAGCGCCCAGATCGAGCATAGGCTGTGATCATGGAGCTCCAGGACACGGGATCCCTGTCGGGGATCATTGCAAATACCTTTGCTGAGTTTTCGAGACTCCCGTTATCGGCGTAAGCTGCGACCAGCGAGCTCCAGGATCCCACATTACGGTAGGCTATTGCGTCGAGCGTCTGCAGCTTTTGGAGTAAACGGTCAAGAGTGCATTGCAGGAAACCACGAAGAACACCTGCATGGCTGCCTCGAGATGGAAGTGTTGGCCGTAGGCCGAGATCAAGGCCGAGCAGGCCACCGTTTTCCATTCAGGCATCCGGTCAAACAGGCACTTAGCATCTTCCGCACACGCGGTTACCATGGCGCTCCAGCACACGATGTCTTCGCGGGAGAGGAATCACATACTTTTTGCGCTCCCTGCAAGCCCCCAGCCTCGCCAAATGCTTTCATCATTGACGTTAAAGAAACCACGTCCATCTCTGGCATGGATTTAAAGCATATTTGAGCCCCGGCACAATGCCCCGCTACAGCATTTCCAGCTATCATTGTGTTCCACGCTGAAACATCTCCGTAATGGCATGCAGAAAAACAAATCGCGAGTCTCTGCCAGCTTTTTGAACAATGTGTACGCTTGTAAAAGAGTATTCCAGCTGGCCACGCTACGTACGGGCATCACATTAAACAAGGCAATTGAAACGTCAAAATGCCCTGCTTGGGCATTTGCTAAGAGGACAGTAGTCCACGAAACGACGCCCCTCTCCTCCGGCATCACTGCCATAGCTTCGCGAAGGTTAGCGAGCTGGAAATGCCCACGCAGGATTGTGTTCCAAACACCTCTCTTGCGTCCGGTAAAATGCATGCCGCGATGAAAAGCTTCCACGAGAAAACATTGGGATGTTTGATGGCCCCAAAAGCCTTGCACGCAAGCTCCAAGTTTCCAGGCTTCCCATACCTGTGAATCAGCAAGTTGGAGCGATATCTCGCCCTCGAATCGTCGAGCAGCAGGGCAATCCAGTTCTTAGAGCTAGAGCAACCATCGCCTCATCGCAAACTCTCAGCCAACCTTGTCCTCCTCTTCGAAAAGACCATACTTTCCTGGTTGCTCCATCTTTCATCGCATACATGTTCGCAAGGAGGTCATGGGCGGCACCACCCAAGAGAGTCTTAGCTGCGTGAGCACCATGTTCCAAATTGCTATAGCTCGTCGATGCACCCAGCAAACAATCGCCAGTCCATGGAGCTTGTTTGCAACGATCCCATGCGAAGCAACGCAAGCCATCCCAAACTTATCCAGTGCGTCCACACACGAGAAGAACCAACGTGGAGCCCGGTCTCTCCTCTTCAACCTTGATCGCACCATACACATCCAGCGCGTTTGAAAATGCCCATTATGCGCATAAGCCGAAATCATGGCGTCCCAGGCAATCGGATCTTTATCTGGGCTTTGATCAAGGATTTTCTTGGAGTGTGTAGCACGACCGTAACCTGTTAGTATGGTGGTTACTGCAACCAAGCCCTGCACAGGCATTGTATCAAACAGAAGCTTGGTATGTTCCAGATGCCCGCTTTGGGCACTTGCTGAGAGGATTGAGTTCCAGGAAATAACATCATGCCAAGCCTCATCAAGATGCGCATTCCAGCTCACATTGCTCCTCCACGTCCCCCGCGGACCACATCCGCCGGACTGCTGCTGCTGGCTCGTGGACGACGACGATACAACTTAGTTTAACATAAAACATACTTCACTGGTTATGGTCAACCTTGATACGAGAGTCTTTCCACAAGTAACAGATAGAAAAGAAGCTCAAAGTCTGAATAATTAAAGCTGATGAAAAGTATTGTTGAGACGTAGCCTCAATTTCACATAGCGAATTTGCAGAGCCTAGCAAAAGCAGCTCTTCCATTAATCTAGAAGTCCAAAATTTACATATATATCCGTCGTTGTTCAGTCTGACCAAAAAATCGTCACTAACTATCAGTAGCTATCGTAGCGTAAACCAGCCACATACCATTCCAACTACCCATACTTCCCCACCGCCAAGAGTCGCCCTGGGTATTTTGTTCGGTACCAGCTCTTCTTGTCCGCCTCAAGAAAGTGTAGCGTGGCGTCATCCACGGGCAGCCCCACCACAGCACCATCTTTCTCCGTCTTGACAACAATCCCACTCACCCTCAGGCTCCTTGAACGTGAATCCCATTCAACGATAACATCACCCACTTGGACACCAGGGACGATGCCAGCCACTTCATCTGGTAAGTAGTGCTTCTTGAGGATTGCAGGGAGTTCAACTTCCCCAGCCCGCCGCACAAAAACCACCTCTTCATTTCGAGGCAGACCAACCATAAGAGGCACCTTAGGAGGTAGTTCCAACTGAATCAGAAAAACACCCGATCAGGATGAATCAGGGTATTGAAGCAGTAGCTTACCGGTTCGAAGAGCTCAACAGCAGCCACCCAAGGCTGCCTGCGAAACAGGGAAACAACCTCACCTTTCACAGTCTGCCCATTGATCGTCACAGTAACTTCTCCACCTTCCTTCCACACCATGGTCTCCTTGTAACCCACGACGATGCACGTTGGCTGTGGGCTTAACGCTAGAGTCGCAGGTGGAGTTCCGATGAAAAGAGCGACCCCTTTATCGCTACAGGTGCCCACAAACTGCAGCAGCTTCAAAGCGCCATGAGGAGGCTTCACACGAGGAGGATTCGCAGGAGGAGGAGGGTTTGGAGCCGTCCTCGGAGAGGAGGCCTTCATAAGCGCCTCAAGTTGCTAACCAAAGATGTCATTTCCAATCCACGCTATTTACTTACCTCAAGTCTCCTCCGCATGTCATCCAGCTGCTCCTGGAGCTCTTCCTTCTTCTTGCTCTTACTCCGCCCAAACAGCTTCTTCTCGGCTGCACTTATCTTGCTCTTACACCGGGCTACCAGCCTCTCCATCTCCACAGAAACCAAAACCCTACCAAAATTCGAAACTTTAGGGCAGAATGACAAAGTTTACGAGGAAAAGCTCCATTTGGACCAGAGGTATCGATTGATGCTTTTGCCCGAAAAAGTGTGGTGAGTGATCTGAGAGGAAGAAGGTGCGCGGGGTGAGGCCGGATCTGGATGTGAATGCTGCTGTGTGTGGAGGGGAAGCAGGAGTTGGTCCCGATTCTTTGGACGATTTTGATGATGACGCTTTCGAGGAGATTGATAGGCTTTGACGCGATGGAGGTTCTGCAGCAGACATGCCAACGTATCTCCGGAAGCTCAATGTGTCCCAAAGGGATGCAGCGCTACTTCTGATTGTTGCGGGGCCGCGAAGTGGAAAGGTACACACTTTTTTTTTTTTTTTCTTCATTGCTAGTTTTTCTGACTACTTCGATTCGTTTATCAGACCTCTACAATGGTCGCACGTATTCTGACACTGTTAAACGAGGTATGCAGTGCAGTGCAGTCCTCTCTCTCTCTCGCCCTCTTTTGTTGCAAAGCTCAAGGGTTCGGCACAGGGGGTAGACTCCAAGAACAATGACCTTCACAACAGCTGCTGCAACGGAGATGATGGACCGCGTCGCTGCTGTGGTGGGGAAGGAGGCGTCCAAGGAACTTATGATCTCGATGTTTCATTCCTTTTGTTTGCAACTCTGTCGCTCTCATGCGGAGAAGTAAGCTGTTCCCTAATGGTAAAAGCGTGCAGTGTACTGCAACATCCTTCTTTCACACAGCGTTAGCGGAATGTCACAACACTTGGGCATATGTACTCGTTGACGAATTCCAAGATACGAGTGTGATGCAGTACAAGCTTTTGCGGCTTCTTTCTCTGCACGGGAGGGTCACTGTGGTTGGGTCGGATATCACCAGGTACGTTCTGCTAATATTTAACTTTTGCTAGTCCGTTTTCAGCTTCAATGGTGCCAACTCTCTCGGTTTTTCCACATTCCGGAATGACGTTCCAAACTACAAAGAGGTCTGAAAACCTGAAATAAATAACGTAGTCATGTGAGTTGTTGTCTGCGTGCTTAGGTGAGACCACAACAAAATTATCGCTCGACTGGCTGCATTGTAGAAGCAGTGAGATGTTCAACATAATGATTCAGGCTGCAGTGCTAAAGTTGTGCGAATGGATAACGATTTTGGAGAAAAGGTATCAGGAATTCAGAACATATATATTTTTGGTTCTCCAGACAGTTGTTATGGAGTGCCGAAATGAAGAAGCACAGTGCACATTTGTGGTCGATGAAATCCTGGAAATGGCATCAGTGGCCAGTGACATCAAGCCGGTGTTTGCAAACTTTGCTATACTCTACAGGCAACAGGTGTGTATTTGATTTCGTCATTTTCTCTTGTAGGTCACAGGCAAAATATTTCAATCTGCTTTCCGTAGTCGAAAGATTCCGTTCAATATGCATGGAGTAGCAGTCTACTGCAAGAAGGTTTCATGCTCGCTTTTCTTTTCTAGTTGGCTGACTTTCATTGCATATTGTAGGTGGTTAAAGACGTGATTGCTTTATTGTGGACATCCTTAGGAAGAAGTGGGACCGTGTTTGAAAGAAGAGTATTTAAGGCGTTATATCGTGGTGATAAAACGGAAAAAAGGAAGGTATGATATCTGTTTTGTGTCTTATACAGACATTGGGAATTTTCAGGCAGTGAAGTATGTTGCAAAAAATGAAATTTGTAGTTTTCTTGAAGCAGCAGAGATTATTTTTACGGCAAAAGTTTCGGGTGCCTTTAGCATTATAGATGCGTGGCCAAGGCCGTAAAAATCAGATTTTACGATGAATTGCATTTTGAACCAGGAACAATCTTTGTCGAGCCTAGTGACCGCTGTATTGAATATGCTATCTCAGGTAAGAGTAAGTTTCTCTACAAGATGCTTATCCTGTTATGCAGAGATGCTCTTTTGAATCTCGTGAACGAGGATGAAGATTGTCGGACTGTGAGCAAACATTCTTCTTCGAAATATGTCTAACTTGTGTTGGACTCCAGGTGTTGGACTATCTTTTGGATGATATTTCCCAGGAAACTAAGATCTCGTGCTATACCAGAGAATGGAAGACGAGCTAAATTGGCGGAGGCGCGAGCCAAAGCGGAGGCCGAAGAGCGGCAGAGACAACTTCGGGAGCAGGCAGAGGCCGAAGCCAACAAAGCGCTGGAAGAGGCGAAGGATGCCGCTGCTCTCGCCAACGAGCTGGAGGAAGAGGGAAAGGAGCTGGCTAAACAGGAAGCACAGGCGGTTGCCAACCCTCAAAAGGCCAAAGACAAAGCCAAGGCTGCGGCAGCGTCGCTGGAAGTTCTGGGGGCAAAGATGAAGGATATTGGAGCTTCCATCAGCGAGACATCGCAGAATGGCTTGGGTGGTTTCTTCAAGCGAGGCACAGTGGCTGCCGAGAAAGAAGAAGAGAGTCAGGAGGAGGAAGAAGAAGTGAAGGCAAAGTTTGGTCTGGGAAACTTGTTTAAGAGGAGCAAGGCCACAGTATCACTCCATCGCAAGCAAAGAAAGTTCCTTCTACCAAAACGAAGACCCCAAGTCACGATTGCCACCACCGCCAGCGATGAGGACGAAGGCTCCGAGAGAGACGAGCAAGGCCCAAAGCTCGAGAGGAAAGAAGAGTACTGGGAGGATTGTTCAAGCTATATATATCGATGAGTAACTCGATAGTATATTGTACAAACCATGATATCGTTTGTAAAGCAATCAAAAGGAGGTATTTTGCGTTGTATGCTTTTGTGCAGGAAGTTGCTTGCTGCTATGACGCAAAGTGGTGTGCGCGGGATTGAGAGAGCAAGGCTGTGGAGAGATGGAGGAGGAGTTTGTGCTTTGAAGAATCAACCATGGCCATTGTCTCGTTTGAGAAGATTTAAGATTTCTTTGGTAGTAGCAGCAGCAGCTACTGGCGAGGAGGTCCTGATTGATGCGTTGGTTGGAGTTGGAGGGCGACGCCGGAGTGCAAGCCAAGAACAACTCAAGGTGATTTAAATCATTGTACAAACCTTCTCAACAGACGTTAGTCCGTTGAATCTTTACTCACAACCTTGCCTATAAGTAAAATGTATCTCATGTTGGTTTTGTTTTTCTTTTGTTTATATGTGTATGGATCTTAGGGGGCAAGCTTGGACAAGAACTTGAAGGTCTTGGAGTAAAAACGGTTGGAGATCTCTTGCAGTTTTCCGAAGTGAAATTGCAGGATATGTATGGCCCAAACACCGGGTAAGAAGCTTTATTCTGAGCTCTCTTCTTCAGCTTCTTCAGCTTCTTCTTCTTCCTCAGCAGCAGCATTAGGGTTCCAGCAGCATCAGCAGCATCAGCAAGTGCAGGAGTACGCGGCTCTGCTGCAGTCGTGCGTTGATGGGGGCAACCTCCTCCACCGGAGCATTGTCGCCAAGGATCTGGAGCAGCACGTCTCTCTCTGGAATTGCCTGGTAAACATGTACGTCCGGTGTGGGGATGTGCAGGTGGCGCACGCTGTGTTCGACAGGATGCAGAAGAGGAATATGGTGTCTTGGGCTGCCATGATCGCAGCAAATGCCCAGCACGGGCATTGGGTTCAGGCATTCCGACTGTTCCGGATGCGGGGCCCAACAGCCACACATTTGTGGCGCTGCTCAGCGCTGCTGTCTCCAAAACAGCAAATGGATCGAGTCGCTCATCCGTGAGAAAGAAGCTGGCATGGAAGAAGCCGGAGTCAGAGAAGAACCAACATCAACAACAACAACAACGGTGGTCGCAAGTGCCCTCATCAACATGTACACCAAGTGTGGCAGCCTGGAGAATGCAGTTGCTGTGTTTCAAGGGATGGCTTGCCAACAAAAGGATATTGTGTCTTGGACTTCACTTGTAGGAGCGTATGCCCAGCAAGGCCATTCTGTTGGTGCTGCAGTTCACTTTCAGCGCATGTTGCTTCAAGGCCTCATGCACAACGAGGATTTCTGGCCGTGTGTGGGGATAAGATTCCACACACCATGTTGGGGAAGAATTGGGGCATTGGTTGCAGCGGGGATTTGCTGCGGTGGTCTGCCAGGTGAAATATGGTGCTGACCGTGTGATTATCTGTCTCCTGTGTTATGCTGTGGGGTCTGAGAATCCAAAGAACAGTGGGAATTGTGGGGGGGGGGGCAATTGTAACTACCCTTGAAAGAGGAAATTGGTATACAGATTAAGCACATCTCCTGTCCAACACAATATCCCACCCCCTTTCCCGGGCCTTATCCAGATTCAAAACGACCACATGGTCCCAGGTTTTCCAATACCGGATGCTATGCCCATGCCGCTTGTTGTATCAAGGTGATGCCGACATAATGGAGCAAGATCTCAACGTCCGAAGGTATTTGTTTTCATTTACTAGGATGCCATTCACTATAACATGTGTATAGGAATTTTTTCGTTGCCAATGGAGATGGTCTTCTGAAGGGTGTTGTAGACAATGCTGCCGAGAACAGCTAGATATTTGTCACAGTTACGGAGCAGCCAAAACAGAAATATTCTCCAAGTGGCACAGAAAATGTGTCTCAGGAAAGGCCCCGGTTAACCCCCTCTTAGTCATTAGGATTAGTGCCTTCAGCCATGTGACTTTTCAATCTTTGGCTCCACCATTGGCGCTAGCATTGCTATCATCCTGCTATTTTCTTCACTTTTACTAGTAGCTCTGCTCACATGTGCATACAAAGCTCTTGCAGAAACAAAGAAAGCTGAACAATTGCTAGGAATAATGTTCACTTTAATAACCACCAGGTGCTTGACTTATGCATAGTAAACCACCTCCACATTGTGAAGGTTCTTGTTGAAAGTGTTAAACATGATTTTGATTCTACTTGAGTTTGTGTTTCATGTGTCTTCAACTTACATTTCTTGTTTGTGGTTGTTTGGAAAGTACTACACAATGATGAGGGGGCCTAAAAGGCTTGGAGTTACATTACATGGCCAGAATGCAAAGACTAGGTAAATGATTTTAAAGGTGCACAATACAAAAGATTCAACAGTTTGAAAGAGGCAAAGCTTTTCATTAATGAGGAAGAAACATGTTTTAAAGTTGTGGGCCAAATAGGGTGGTGGGAAGACCCCAAGTACTATGTCTGCATTGCCAGGTTTGTTGAGGGCCACAGCCAGGCCTCTTGAGGAAGTAGTAGTTAGTGCATCATAGGAAGAACAAAAATACATTCTAACAAATGACTGAGTTTAGAGTGTGAAATAATTGTATAAGAAAAATGTGAATAATGTGTGAGAGATGTAAGAAATAAAACATGTAGGAAATAGAATCTTAACTTATAAAAAATATAAGTGAAATAGTGTGTGAAATATGAATGTTATTATGTGAAATAACATGAATAACATGTGAAGTAATATGCAAATGTTTTTAGCTGTCTTTGAAATTTGTGTGAAGTATTCCATGTCAGAATATGTATGTGTTTACATATGTAAAATCATATATAAATGTTACTAAATATGTAAGTTTCTATATAAAGTGGAAATCAATGTGTAATCAATTTAAAATTGACTATGCATCCACTGTACATAAAAATTACAGATAGTTCACATATATTTTTTGTAACTCATAATGGTTTGATGCTCTGATTATAAAAAAAACTCTTGAGTAAATGAGATAAAAAAGAACAAAAAAAAAAAAAAACTGCAAAATGTGATCTAAATCATCCTATAAAGAACTTTTTTTAAACAAAAAGAAGAATAAAGAGAAAATGAATATAATGATGGTAATTTGATGCAACAAGTTTGATGTTTCTTCAGAGCCATGTGCATTATGTTCACTGATTATAGTAGTTTTGGTCCCAGTATTGAGATGTGACTTTTGAACAACAGCGGTTTCTTTGTCATTCATTAATGATACTCTGGTTTTATATGATTAAATTGTTAAGTACTACAGTTACATTGTCAACATTATCATATATGAGACTTGTACGTCCATGACATATTCAATGGTAGCAATTCTCCTATCCATCTCTAGAAAGCAAAAGTGAAAACTACCAAAACACTTAACAACATTATGTGTGGGCAAAAAATGTATTTGTTTCTATGAACAAATTTGAGCAAGATATCCAGCAAACACCAAAAATAATAAATACTACTATGCAAAGGCCTTTTAGCTTCAAATTAAGAACATGATGCGCCATCTCTCGATTTCTTTAGTGTGAAAACTTCACTTACATAAATTGTATAAAAAAGAATGAAATTTTTATGTGGGATGTAAGAAATAAAACGTGTAATATAAAAATGTTTTTAAGAAAAAAGTGAAATAGTGAGTAAAATGTAAATGTTTTTATGTGAAATAACATTAATAACATGTGAAGTAATATGCAAATGTTTTTAATTGTCTTTGACATTTGTGTGAAATATTCTATGTGAGAATATAAGTGTTTATATATGTGTAATAATATATAAATACTACGTATCACTAAATCTATAAGTTTTTATTTAAAGTGGATAGGCATTCACTTTACATAAAAATTACAGATAGTGCACATATAATTTTTGTAACTCATAATGGTTTGATACCCTGATTATAAAAAAACTCTTGAGTAAATGAGATAAAAAAGAACAAAAAAAAAAAAAAACTGCAAAATGTGACATAAATCATACTGTAAAGAACTTTCTTTAAACAAAAAAAAAGAATAAAGAGAAAATGAACATAGTGATGGTAATTTGATGCAACAAGTTTGATGTTTTTTCAGAGCCACATGTATTATGTTCACCAACTATAGTAGTTTTCATCCCAGTACTGAGGTGTGACTTTTGAACAACAGTGGTTTCTTTGTCATTCATTAATGGTACTTTGGTTTTATGTGATTAGATTGTCAAGTACTATAGTTACATTGTCAACATTATCATATATGAGACTTGTACATCCATGAAATATTCAAAACATATAAATGTTTTAGATTGTCTTCATGCTCTATTCAATGGTAGCAATTCTCCTATCCATTTCTAAAAAGCAAAAGTGAAAACTACCAAAACACCTAACAACATTATGTGTGGGCAAAAAATGTACTCGTTTTTGTGAACAAGTTTGAACAAAATATCTAGTAAACACCAAAAATAATAAATATTGCTATGCAAAGGTCCTTTAGCTTCAAATTGAGAACAGTATGCACCACCTTTCGATTTCTTTCAGTGTGAAAACTTAACTTACATAAATTGTATAAAAAAGAATGTGAAATATATATGTGGGATGTAAAAATAAAACGTGTAATATAAAAATCTGTTAAAAAAAAGTGAAATAGTGTTTAAAATGTAAATGTTTTTATGTTAAATAAAATTAATAACATGTGAAGGAATATGCAAATGTTTTTAGTTGTCTTTGACATTTGTGTGAAATATTCCATGTGAAAATATAAGTGTTTACATATGTGCAATAATATATAAATACTACGTATCACTAAATCTATAAGTTTTTATATAAAGTGGATAGGCATCCATTTTACATAAAAATTACAGATAGTTCACATATAGGTTTTGTAACTCATGATGGTTTGATACCCTGATTATAAAAAAAACTCTTGAGTAAATGAGATAAAAAAGAATAAGAAAAGAAAGAAACTGCAAAATGTGATCTAAATCATCTTGTAAAGAACTATTCTTAAACAAAAAGAAGAATATAGAAAAAGTGAAAATGATTTGATGCAAGAAGTTTGATGTTTCTTTGTTAACAAGACAATTAAACAACTTTTATGTTTTGATGGATAAAAACAATTCAATAGTCAACTTCATTTCTGCCAGCACACCAAAAACAATTAATTAGTTAGAGCCTAATACTAAGCTGGTTTAGTATTTGCTGGACATACAGCACAGCATGCGTTGCCCATTATTTAAGGAGCGAGCGTAGCTACAGGGCTCATTCACAAAATAGCTTGTAAGTTCTATGTTTCCTTGTTCTTCTTCTTTTTTGGACTGGCTACATTGGTAGGTGTTATTTCTCACATATGTGTCCAATCTCTCATCTTTTAACTTCTGTTGAACAGGCAACTCTTGGGCATGCTCGAACAACTCCTGGTTTTGATGCTTGCAGGAATTGAACTTCTATGGGCAGATCATTCTGGAAGGGGAAAGATCATGCAGAACGAGCATTTCAAAGGATGGAAAAACTTATGCATTCAGCTGCAAGCTCACCACTGGTACTGACTACGACTCATCTCAGATTGGAGTTATAGAAGGCATACATTCAAAACATATGAATGCTTTAGATTGGTTTCAAGGGTGGTTTATGAATCTGGGAGTACTCGTGACTTTATCACTGATACTTTCACCATCGAGCTGAAGGATGGACCAGAGCTATTCACCTTCAACTCCAAAGGTGTTATTAATATTCAGAAAGCAAAGAACATGTTTCCAGTGAACGGTGGTATTTTTGGGGAGGACACAATCGTCGGCAGGTTTGTGCAAGAAGTGATTTATTCTCCTCCAAGTCTTTTGTTGAAGATCACTGCTACTCTCTACATCATGCCTTACTCATGTGGCTCAATCTCCATGAAGGTTGAGTAAAATGCGCATGCTGCCCCCTATCCTTGCAGATCCAATCTCAATAGAGATTGAGATAATAATAAGTCTTCACCAGTAAGTGTTCAAGTGTGAGCATTGGATAGATAGCATGAAAATATGCCAAACGCATTCTAGTCCCACTGGTAGACTCTTGCCCGAATCACAAATGCGGCAACCTCACAGTTGAGTATCCATTCTACATTGCAATTCGGCAGCAGCAGCTCACGGATCACGATGCATGCAGCTCAGCCGGCTCCACTGCGAGCACAACATGACGCTCAGGCTGCCGCTGCATTCGCTACGAAGTCCTCAACTTCACCAGCCGGAATGTGATCACCATCGATCCGCGCAGCTGCGACAGCAGCAGGAACTGATCCTCCACAACTTCTGCGGCCAGCTTCACGCTGCAGAATGATCCAAACTACGCCCTCTCCTACGGGAATATCCTCATGCTCTACAGCTGAAGCAACACCGCCGGATGCTTTAACAACTGGAGAGCCGCACAATCCACAGGCATGCGGACCACATGGAAAAAATTTCAGCACGGACGTCCAGCACATACTACCACCTGTCTTAAGCTCGCCTTTATTTTCAGTTGTCTTGTTGACATCAAAAAATTGAGCAAAGATATTGTGTGCAAATTTCTGTGGTGATGAGTCAATGGCTGAGCGCCCAAAGAAGCGATCAGATAATATTGAAGCCAGGATGTGGTTGTGGACCATGTGGTTACAAAACAATCGCACTGCGCATCTTCTCACAATTCATGTCACATTGTAAGTCCCAGCTAAACTTTTGTGTCATGGTCCTTACTTATCACTCACTGGAGGCTCCAAAGTTCTCCTCAAAGTTGCGGCCTTTAAGATATGGCGTAGACAAGATCGTAGACAGCCGATACCTCTTCGAGCGAAGCTTGCACAAGTTTTTCTCTCACCACTCAGTTGGAAAGGAGCAAAGCGAGATAACCAGCAGCGCAGGAGTATCTGTTACTACCTCAAATATCATGGCAAAGCCGATGGTACGATTTTTTCAAACCATTAGTAAGGATGTTGTTTGCTCTTTCCAGGGAGTGAATCCAATCACTCAGTGGCCTCCAGTAACAGGAGACCCTAGAAACGCCAGTGAGCAGCAACAACAGTGCCCATCGATCTCCAAGGAGGTACGTCTTGAGGAAGACAGGGCTGGCGCTAGTGTTCCCACAGACGGCTCCATTCCGGAATCCCAACCGGAGAGGAAGGAAGAAACCGTGGCTTGGGAGTATAAGCAGGAAGAGGTCGATCACAGCGTGTTTGCAGAGCTTCCCTCTGAAATCCAGCAAGAATTACAGGGTAGAATGGGTGTCCAAAGCAACAAGCGAGGAAAGCCGACAACGATAGCGGGTTTTTTAAGCTCGAAAACGTGATACAGTGCTAGTCAACGCGCTTGGTCAATTTAGTCAACGAGCACACTGCTAGAGTCAATGTGATCGCGGCGGACGTGTATACAGTTTATCTTCCCATCAAATTGTTTTCTAGAGTTTATGCTCCTCCATGGCCGGGTCACGCAACACTTACTCCTTGAGCGGAAGGAGATCCTCAAGTGCCTGGCGCAGATCGGCGTGACCGACCTCTCGGAGGAGAATCTGGTAAAGCCGTCTAGGGAGATCATCTGGCCGCTGTACGAGAATCTGGTGCAATACCTTGCGGGAATCCCCAGGTAAGCGATGGATTCCATTCATTCTCCACGTGTGAGCGTCTTTCTCGTCTTAGGAATGAGCTCCAATCATATTTCGTTTACGAAACCCGCAACCTCTCTCAACCCTCAATCCTGACCGGAAGAACGATTGGAAAAAGCAATTGCATGGACCCTATCGCGGGGAGGAAGTGGATGCAAAGAGCGTTGCTGCCACCAAACATGACTGACAGCAGCCCGTTCTTGGCGCCTTGGATTGCTGCGGCATCAGGAGCTCTATGCTGATTCAGTCGGGACTCTGGCGTCGTTTCGTGCGATTTCCAAGCTCATGCATGCCGTTGGTGTGGATGATTTCGGAACCAGGGATATTTTCAGGCGGGAGCCGACTAGAACAGTGATCAACTTTGCGTACTTCGGGTGTGGCGTCTTTCTTCTTTTTTGTTTGATCACAAAGACTGCTAACTACTTTTGATTTTGCATGGAGCGGAGAGGGAACTTCCAGATACCGAGACGACAGAATCCAGCAATTGGAAGAAACCAGGATACAGGTGAGAAGGCTGCTTTCTTTCCGTGTTAAGATGGACAAGAACATGCTAATCTCTTCATCTTTAGCTTCAAAACGCAATTGCTCAAGACGAGGCGGAGCGAAAGCTGAGGAGCCTCAAGTCCAGAAATTGCCCGTGGAGGCGAAAGAACTGGAGCAGAAAATCTACGATCTCAACAAACAACAAGCCGTGTTGCAAAGCGACATACGTGGCATCAAAGAGGAGCTGAATTGTGGAGTGTTTTTTCTTCTTCTTAAACAGTGAGATGTTGGTGTGTATTTAGATTGTAAGCGAGAAAGCCTCTGTTTCTCAAATGAAACAAGAAGGGTTCCAGCTGCGGACACAGATTGTACAATCTCCCGACAAGCTTCGGGTAAGCTCTGAAATTCTATATTCTACTTTTCCTTTTTTCTTGTTCTTTTCGGTCTAACGTTGCGCTCCCTTTCCAGAAAATGCTTGAAGACAGGAGGGCGGCTGTTCAGAATGCGGAAGCTGAGGTTGAATCGGCCCGTCAATCCGTCGAGGAAGCACAAGTACGAGGCATACACAAAAGTGCGTTAATTTTTTTTTTAATATTTTTTTTGTCTTTCCTTGGCCGAGCAAAACTTATATCATGTTGCAACCTCTTAGGCGAAAAGGAAAGTGCAAAAATGCCTTGATATGATGGACTCGCTGAACAAGCAGGTAATTTCGTTACTCTCGCTCGACTAGCACGACGGATTGACTTGTTTTGCTGTACAGGCGGCTCTTCAGAAGAAAATGGTGAAAGATTCGAAGGAGATGAAGGTGAAACTTAAAGAGAATGAAGAGAAGCATTCGGTTATCAGTGTGCAGCTGGCTCTTGGTATTCACATGTGATACTAACTCAAGTATCTTTCAGGCCAGCACTTTCACAATCTACTGGAGAAGCTAGATTCGTCCTTCGACGTCAAGTGCCAGGAGACGGTCAAGGAGCTTGAAGATTTCAGGTTGCAAAATGCGCCCCTGATTGATCAACTGGATAAACAGGAAGAGAAAATCGCGAGAAAGCAAGACGAGGTACGAACGCTTAATTTGGTTTGTTCTTCAGATTCAAATTCTTTTGCAGGTGGAAATTATCACAAGTAACTTAAACGAGGCTCGGTCGAAGAAAGAAGCCGGGCTCAAGGCCTTTCACGACGAAGTGGAGCTGATACAAAACGAGGTAATGGACAAGGCTTATATTTGTGGGTCTAAGGCGCCAATTTTCAGGTCCTGAGATACAACGAGGACTCGATGAGAGTGATTGAGTCCTCCAGTGGACGTTTCATACAATGACTTACCCACAGTATGACGCGCGGTACCGGCGCACGGAGGCGTTCCAGCTATGCGTTCACGTTGACTATTTTGACCGGACGGTTGGAATGCGCTGACCAAATGTTTTTAAGCGCCATTTACAGAAAATGTTTAAAAAGTAGCTCTATAGTTGCGAGCCAAAACGAAAAGGATTCGGTATGGAGATTTGTTTACCAGTGTCACGTTTTAAGCACATTCTCAATCTAACTCCATCCATATCGCGAAATAGCCCCTCTTGCAATCCTTGTCTGCGCTTTGATTCTTCTCCCAGATCCATCTCTTGCTCTTAGAAGTGCCCCCATGGATTGTGCCTCACAACTTGAGCGATTGGAAATCATAAACCACAGGACATGCTGCAATTACGTTCGATTCCTCAGTGCTCGTTGATGATTAGTCATCACGAGCCTTGGGAAAGTCTTCAAAGTCTGTAAAATTCAATGCGTAAAGCTGTGATGGCGATAATATATTTCCTTTTATAAATCCATAGAAGCTTTTGCAGTTTTTTGTCTAGGCAATATTTATCAATCAATCAATCAATCATTCACGCATTCTTGATCCAGTTCCATCCATCTCGCAAATGGCCCTTCTTGATTTTCCAAATCCATCTCTTGCTCCAACAGGATTGTGCCTCACAACTTGAGCGATTTCCCAGGAATCGATGCTGCGATTACATTTGGGAGAACAGGATTTCCTCATGAAGGAGCTTCCCGAGATCCGGGCTTGCGCATTGCCGGATGCGTAGGTCTCAAAATCTGGCTTGCTGCAGGAATCCCTCCAACAGAGCAGGAATGCATATAAAAAAGCCTGGTTCTCAAGCACAAAGATCGGATATATTCTTGCATATTTAAGATTAATATTAAAGTAATACATTTTGGAAATTATTTGCAGATTCTATGCATCAAACGAACAAGTGATTTCACATGAGCATTATATAGTTACACGTATATTTTGGTTTTGAATTGCACACAATGTTATAATGTATACAATCATGTTTTGATTGTTATAATAGCAATTGAAATGTGATTATATGCATAATAATGGCTTGGGAATGAGTAAATATGTTTAGGATTATAAAATTTATTATCACAATTGGATGGAATTTTTTTTTAATATTTCATTCAACATGCTGTTAAGCAATAAGATCATGCGCTCCAACTAATTTAACATGGCATATGAAACCACAAATTTTAATCCACTAATAATTTTATCCAAAACTTGGTTGATGCCACAAAATTTTACTCTCTTAGATTAAACGTTTGCTCAAGTTGAGCAATATGTATAACACTTGTGATTCTTACATAGAGATTAATAAGACCCCATTAGACTAAATAGTGTGGAGGTTTATGGCCATATTTAATTACACTTTCACAATCATCCTTGTTATTTTTGCCAAACTTAAATGAAAAAGAAGAATTTAAATTTTTTTTTACTAAATTATTTTGTGAGTCATACATGTCATAAAGAATTCAAACACATATAGTTTTTAAATTTATATATCTTCGACACTTTTATATATATATATATATATATATATGTGTGTGTGTGTGTGTGTGTGTGTGTGTAATATATGTTGATGTAAGAGATCTTGAGTGTGTTTAGTTAATGTCATCCAAATGAATATATCAACCAAAACGATCTAAAGGATTTATGTTCGCTCAACATGGCGGGCTCTCAATATTGTGTATGTATACATAGTATTTAGAATAAAATTTAAGTTTAAAATATTATTTTATAGTAACTATAAATAAAATATTTTTTCACAAAGAGGCCAAGTATTTTATTAAAGTATATTCACTTCCTAAAGTTTTTGCCATAAATCTTAAATGTATAAATATATTATGTACAAATAAAATTAATTTAATAATCAATAAGATATGATTATAATTTCATTAAGTAGTGACTATTTTTCTTACTTTTTATGCTAATATTATAAGTAATAAGTTACAAAAAATTTATGTGCAAATAACACAATTAAGTATAAGAGCAAAAGTGTTTTATGTATTTGATCACATTCTTGTTTAAAAGTTTATTATTAATGTTTGATTTACAAAAGAAAATTTATATTTAAAGATTAATACTCTATGAGTTATAATGAGCAAATAGTTACCACTAATAAATATTAAATAAAACTATAATTAATATATATTTAACTTAAATCCTGTCACTCACAAAGAAAAATTCTTAAACATTCACAAAAATTTAAGAAGTAGATTTAGAAACTTAAGAAACTGTAGAAACTTATATTAATTTATAATTGAAAATTCTAAGAATGAATTCATCATAGGATTCCCAGAAACAATTTTCAGCTAGCTAGAGACACGAAAATGTTTCGATGTCTAGAACAAACAACAAAGTTAGTAAAGAAATGAAAAATCAACAAACGAGTCTTACCGGATTTCACTCATGCTGCTCGAACTTTCTTCACAACCAAGTCGCTACCATGGCCAGGAGCACTCCTCTTCACTCCACAGCGCCTCCTGCGAGACATCGTCTCGATCTTGCAATTACCGACGATCCAGGGATGCTCCAGCACGCCATCCAGCGTCAGCCTCTCGCTCGGCTCTACAGCCAGCATCCCGCAGATGAGATCCTCCGCCTCGTCCGAGACAGGAGAACCATCCGGGAATACCCCGCCTCGCAAGAGCTCGATCTCCTGGGGCAGCTTGTAGCCCCTCAGCAGCTCATACGCGATCACTCCCAGCGCCCAAACGTCGACGGCCTTGGTGTACAAGCTCTGCGAGCTTCCATCGCCATGACCACCTTTGCAGCTCGCCACCTCCGGGGCCATATACTTCCCCGTTCCACAGTACTGCGACATCTCCTTGATGTCGTCCGTGGCCACGCCAAAGTCTCCAATCACCACCTCGTGCACGGCACTAGCGTCCAGCTTGACGAAGATGTTCTCCGGCTTGAGATCCCGGTGGACGATGCCCCTGGAGTGGATCTCCTTGAGCGTCTCCGCCAGCCTCTGGATGGTCTTGGCGGCCTCCTCCTCGCCCAGCGGCCCTCCCTTGATCAATCGATGGCACAGACTAGGGCCGCACAGCTCCATCACCATGGTCCCGTAGCAAGCCCCGCCGCTCCTCTCCTTCACGAAGCCCGTGAGGGAGACCACTCCAGCGCAGGGGCGGAGCTTGGACATGAGCCGGAGCTCTCTCCCGGCCTCCCTCCCCGATCGAAACATCTTCCCAGCGTAGCTCCTGGCACCTTTGAGCACGAAAACCTGGCCCTGGCGCCCGCAGCCCAGCCTCTCGCCCCTCGTGTAGACCTTGAGGAGCTCAGCACAGTCGTCTTCGTCGAACTCACCGTCTTCGCGCACCATCGCAGAGCTTCTCCTCTCCTCTCTCGCGCAAGCTTTGCTAAGTGAAAAAAATTTAGGGAGGAAACCCTAGCTTCTCATAACGACTGCATCTCGACGGCTGGGATGTGTCGACGGCGTGATCAACGGTGGCGATGCGCCTGACCGTGAATATACCGCTAGTATATTCTCGTTTAAATTGCCATAGCTACTCGCCTTTGTGCTTGAAGCTTTGCTCGAAGTGGAACTGCGCCGCATTGACGAGCCTGTTGGTGATGTCCACCACGTCCTGGTCGGGCACTACATTACCTCTGGGCGATCGCGGCGATGCCCCGCCTCTCGGCGACGCCACTCTCACCTTCTTGGGCGTGTTTGCGCCGCTGCTCGTCGTGGTCGTGGTGCTCTTCACCGATGGTGGCGGCTCCGGCGGCTTCTTCTTGGGCATCCCCTTGAACGCGTTCACTCTCGAGTAGCCCTTGGCGTTCTGGAGCTGCGTGTCCACCCGCCGGAGCTCCTGCGCGAGCTGGAACACCTTCTTCTCGAAGTACTCCTTGTCCACGCGCTCCTTCTCGAGGAGCTGCTCCAGGAAGCCGGCGTGCTGCTGGAGCTCCTTGCACCGCTTCATGTTCCGGCTCGCCTCCAGCGTCGTCTCCCGGGCCTTGTTGCGGAAGCCCTTGAGCTCGTAGCTCGCTCGCTCCAAAGTGTCTTGAGCGGCCTGGAAGAGTGTGTTAGCTCCAAAGTTTCTACGTGAGATCTTGCCCGGACCTGGATGATCTAAAGGCTATGGACGTAGATCTACAGGAGGACGGAAGCTCCTTACTTGCATGGAGGATTGAAGCCTGTGCTGTGTCGTCTCGAGGATGTTGGCCTTCTCTTTGAGGCGTCCCAGCTCCTTGTTCTGGCAGCTTATCCGGTTGTGCGTGGCGTTGAGCCGCCGGACCAGCTTTTGCAAGTTCCCGACCTCCCCGGCAAACACGTCCCGTTCTACTTCAACTTCCTGGTGGATCATCGCGTTAGATCGAGGAGTGATGAAAGGAAAGCTTGAAAGAGTGACGAAAGCTTGCCTTTGTATGAGAAACACGCAAGTCCTTGCGAAGGAGCGCGAGCTCCTCCAGCTGCCTGTCACAGGTTGATTGCAAGTCGTTTATCCGCATTTTCAATCCTGGAGCGAAGAAGCTTGCAAGGTGAATCCTCGCGAAGAACACTTTGGAGAGAAAGGAAACCTTGTAGCTTTGCTCGTAGACGCGATGAGCCTCCGGTTCTGGGAGCCTCGGCCGCTCCCTGTGCTTCCAAATCCTCGATGTCTCGCTCGAGCTTTCTGCCAAGAAACGCGAGATCAACAAGCTTGTTCCTCGCTGGAGAAACCAAGAACACTGACCGGGCTTATAGCTAGAAATGTTTGGAGGATGGCAAGAAGTACTTGTTTTCGATCTCCAGCGCCGAGGTGTGGACCTTTTGGAACTTGATGTGCTTGTCCTGCTCGTAGAGCACCCTCTTGAGCTCCAAAATCTCCTCGAGCAGCGCCTCCTTGTCCCTGGAGCCCATGAGGATCTTCTTGGGCATGAGGCTCCCCTTGGCGCGCATCGACAGCGTCGCGGGCGACACCGCCATGCCCTTGAGCCCATTGGGCGGTGGCGGCGTCATGGGCATCATCGGCATGGCGCCCGAGAGATCCATGACGGCGCGCAGCGACGCATCCGAGCGTGGCTTTGGATTGTAGGGGCTGGCCGCCCGCGGCCCCGGCCCGGCGCTCATCGGCCTCGCCGCTGGCTGCTGCTGCTGCTTCTTTACCTCCATCTTCGTCATGATCTATCTCTTCTTGCTCGGGTTGTTCTTATTCTCTCTCCTCCTCCCAGCTTAGCGCATCTCGCGATTTGCATTGGAGCCCACGCCAGGGCTCGAAATTGGGTCACCGCTCCACCGGTTTGATCGATCGTGGATCCAGATGGGCGATCGTGGTGGCGTCAAAAGCTTACTTGTGTGAGCTTCCTTGGACCTTGGGTGTGATGGATGGCGATTTTTTTTCCTGTTTTTCCTCGCTGCCTGCCACACCGGCCGGCATCGCGAGCCCTAACTGCCAGCTTCGTGGCACCGCCTTCGCCCTCGGATCCTCGCATCCGAGGGCCATGGTTGCGAGTGTTCTTCCCATGTGCCGGGGTAGTAGTAGTATGGTGCTAGGATGGAAGGTCATCGCTGTCCTCTCGTTTGTTCTTCCTCTCGCCAGTCCAGTGCCCGAGAATGTGACAATTGGGACGCTGTTCGCCTTCCGGACGAGGATTGGACGGGCTGCCAGGGCCGCGATCGAGCTCGCGGTGGACCGCGACGACGCGGTGCTCAATGGAACCCGGCTGCTCGTCCAGTTCTCCGATGGCAATTGCAACGCTGTCCAAGGAGCTGCCGCAGGTACGCTAGCATCTATTTTTCTAAAAGATCGAGAGCTTCCAACTCTTCTTTGCAGCGGTGGAGCTGATCAAGCGGCACAAAGTCGTGACCATCGCCGGCCCCCAGACCTCGGAGGTGGCGAACTTCGTAGCACACATGGGACGAGTGACGCGCGTCCCGGTCGTCTCCTTCTCGGCCACCGATCCCACGCTGTCCGAGGCGCAGTACCCCTTCTTCCTCTGCCTGGCTCTCAGCGACCGCATCCAGATGGAGGCCATCGCCGGCTTCGTCAAGCTCTTCGAGTGGAAGGAGGTGGCGGCCTTCTACTCGGACGACAGCTTCGGCACCAGCGGCGTCATGGAGCTCCACGACGAGCTCGGCAAGGTCGGCGCCACCGTCTCGTTCAAGGCCGCGTGAGCAAGGGGATGAGCAAGGACGACGTTGGCGAGTCCCTGGCCCGGTTTGCCGAGTCGGGCTGCCGGGTGTTCGTCGTCCACGCCGACACCGGCGTCGGGAGGACGCTGCTCATCCAGGCTTACAACCTCCGGATGCTCATGCCCGGCTACGTGTGGATCGTCACCGAGGCGCTCGCCAGCGTCCTCGACACCATCTACGACGACGACGAGTTCGTGGCGGCGTCGCAGGGAGCCGTGGGAACCCGGAGCTACGTCCCTCGCTCGCCGCAGCTCGACAAGTTCTACGAAAGGTGGCGAAGCGCGAACCCGGCCACCAGCGTGAACGTCTACGGCCTCTACGCGTATGACACCATCTGGACGATCGCGTACGCGATGGACAGGCTCTTGTCGTCCACGAATGCAAGCCGGAGCTTCGAGTTTCGACGTCGGCATGGCGACTCGGACCTTGCCAGCCTGCCGGTTCTAAAGTCCGGAGCTCGGATCCTCAAGGAGCTCGCAAAGACGAGCTTCGATGGAGCCAGCGGAAGGGTGGAGCTGACGAGCCGCGGGGAGCGCAAAGGCTCGGATCTGGAGATTGTCAACATGAACGGGAAGGGAGTTCGGGTGGTCGGCTACTGGAACCGGGCGAGGAGCTTCAATGTGGATCCTTCCTCGGACAGCCAGGAGCTGGAATGGTTTAGCCAGATGGAGCGGTGCCTCAACCGGATCGTGTGGCCGGGTGGCAGCTTGAACGTTCCGCGAGGATTGATGATCCCGAAATCCGGAAGGGAGCTCGTCATCGGCGTCCCGCTCAAGCAGGGATACAAGGAGTTCGTGGACTCCATCGCCGAGAGTGGCAGTGTGAGTAGCTTCCATGGCTTTTGCATCGACGTGTTCAAGGCCGCGCTCTACACGTTCGTGGGATTTGGCGTTGGGAATTCCACTCCCAGCTATGACGAGCTCGTCGAGAAAGTCGCGAACAAGGTAAAAGAATGATTTTTTCTTCGGTTTTTTCACGAACTCGACTGTGTGGTTCTTTAGAAGTATGATGCTGCTGTGGGAGACATCACTATAACCACTATAACTCACAAGCGAGCGAAGATTGTGGATTTCACGCAGCCTTACACGACGTCGGGCCTGGTGCTCGTCGTGCCGGTGACCGAGTTTCGTCCGCATCACGCGTGGGCTTTCCTCCAGCCCTTCTCGACTGCTCTGTGGTGCACAACTCTGGCCTTTTTCCTGTTCACTGGAGCTGTCGTCTGGGTCCTGGAACACGACAAAAATCGCGACTTTGGAGGCCGTCCGAAGAAGCAGGCTGTCACCACCTTCTGGTAAGTACACCATAGTATATGCTTCTTCTCCTTCTTTTCATATGATTTCTCTTTTGGTTTTCGTTGTGTGATCGTCAGGTTCACATTCTCGACTCTCTTCTTCGCGCAGCGTATGGATATCATTCCTTTCTTTTTTCGCTTGCATGACTCGTTTGTACTTCTCACTCGCAGGTGAAAGTGTGAAGAGCATTTTGGGAAGGATAGTGGTCATTATCTGGCTCTTCGTGGTGCTTATTCTTACCTCCAGCTACACGGCGAGCTTGACATCGATTCTCACTGTTCGTAAGCTCAGGCCATCAATCCAGGGCCTGTCCCGGCTGGTCGGGAGTAAAGTCCGGATTGGATATCAACAGGGATCTTTCGTGAAGGACTATCTCTTCCAGCTTAACGTGGACAACGATAGACTGGTGCCTCTCCCCTCCATTTCCACGTACTCGTCGGCTCTGGCCGCCAAAGAAGTTGGAGCGGTCGTGGACGAGCTCCCATACATGCAGCCCTTGCTTTCGTCCGATTGTAAGTTTGCACTGTCCGGCGAAGAAAAGTTCTCGGAGAGCGGCTGGGGATTTGTAAGTCCTAAGTTCCTTTCGTGTTTTCTCTATGCATTAAGCCTCTTTTTTTTCCTTTGAACCAGGCATTTCCAAAAGGATCGACACTAGCAGCGGATGTTTCCACCGCGATTCTCACGCTCGCGGAGACCGGAGAGCTGCAGAGGCTTCACGAGACATGGCTCCACACGATCCAGTGCAGCGGAGAGGCGGTGAAAGTCAAGTCGGACGAGATCAACGTGTACGCCTTCTCGGGGATGTTTGGACTCGTTGCCGTGGTTGCGGCGGTGGGAGCTCTTGTCCACGCCGCTCGGAGCTCCTGGCAAAACTACAACCTTGCACTGCTGGCTGCTACGCCGCTCCAGTGGCCCTCCCGGTTCGCAAAAGGTTCGCGTTTCATTCACTCCTGGAGCTCATACGTCTGGCAAACAGGAAGGCTGAGTTCCATTGCTATGACAGAGGGTGAAGGGCAGCACGAATGAAACTTGTGAGAACTTCGATCGTGGAGGTTTTCCTCAACTTGTTGACTTTCTCCTTGTGCAGCAGCAAATCCAGAGGAACGAATCGGACCACTGAGAAAGGAAAAATTGAGCACGAAAAGAAGGAAAGCTCGCGAGTCTTACTTTGGATTCGCTACTCGTCTCTCCAGCTCGGGGGCTCCCGGTTCCATACATCCTCTCGATGACGCTGCGCGTCCTGGCCGTGTCCTCGACGCTCGAGCTCTTCTCCTCGCCGGGGTGGAAGTCGATGAGACCATCCAAGTTGAAGTTGCCGGAGTAGAGGCCGGTGGTGGTGCTGGTGTCCCGCGATGTTGACTTTGGAAACAGGAAGGATGAATTCACAGGTGAGAATGTGAACTTCGACTCGTCCGTGTTGCGGACGACTTCCTCCACTCTGCTCCGGATCTCCGACTTGACATCGTATAACACACTGTGCTTGTCCTTGTAGGTGGCGGCAAAGAATTCCTGGCTTTGCTGCTCAACGTCGACAGGGTTCTTGGTGAAGTCCAAGTCGAGGTACCTGGAGCTGTTCAAGGCGCTGGCGTCGACCCCGCTCGGCCTCGACCCGGCCAGCTCGATGCTAAACTCGCTGCTGGTGACGGTGGTGTTGCTGTTCTTGCTGCTACTCCGGCTGGAGCTCTCCTTGGATTCCGAGCTGGTCGGGTTCACGTTGTGGTGAGCAGTGCTGTTGCTCAAAACAGTGGAAGAATTGCTTCTAATGTGAGGAGCCTGGCTGGTGTTTGATCTTCTCGGCAGGAGGAAGATATCGCTGCTGCTGTGCCGAGGTCCTCCCGAGAAGCTGATGCTCTTGGTGAGCCCCCAGAGTGACGAGGAAGAACCAAGCTTCTGGGGACCCGACTTTGCTCGGAGCTTCTTGGCCTCCTGCTGCTGCTGCTGCTGGCGGTAGTACGTGTAGAAGTCGAGGCGGCCGGGAAGGATATGCTCGCAGGGACTTCCGGTGTCGAAGCTTAGCGGAGAGATGGCGTGAAGCTGGTCCTCGGTTGGCGAGTCCGGGACTGCTTGGGACATGGAGAAGCTAAAGCCGCGGTCGTTTGCGAGGAGGAGAGCTTCCATCGGGGTCGTGACGGAGGGGAACGAGGCCGGGAATGGAAGGATAGAGTTGAGATCTTTGAGCTTTGGAGCTGGGGGTGTGGACTCGGACGAAGAACTCCCGGCTGTTCTCCCGTAGTGGAAGACTGTTGTTGGTGACAAGTTGCTAGCTTCCTCGAGCTCGTCCTCTCTGCTTTGATGATCATGGTGGTGGTGGTGGTGGTGGTGATACATTTCAGACTCTGAGAGAAAGCGAAGAACAAAAGAGAGATTTTGATGGAGCTGCTGGGAGAATGTCTTATGGACTTACCTGGGAAGAAGCTTTTGGTGTTCTTCATGGAAGACGAAGCAGTATGATGTGGAGAGTAAAATCCTTTTTCTTCTTTTTCTTCGCTTTGATCTCCTCGAGCTAGTGAATTTCCAGGCCACGTTTCGTCCCACTCGAACGGAGCACGGGCATTCTTCCCTGCGTGCTGCGAGACGCTCTTGCGGATCTTCTCCTGTTCCTTGGTCACCAACTTGGAAAAGATCGTCTCCAGCGACATATCTGGTGAGAAGTCACTCCTGCTTTGCTCGGGAGAAGAACTGTGCATTGACAAGGAGTTTTGGTGGTCAATAGCTGGATCACTGCTGCACGATTCCTCGATCTCCATTTGATCGCGACTAGACGATTTGGGAGCTAGATTGGAGCTCGTCTGGAATCGCGAAAGATTGGACATGATGGTAAGCTTTCTCTCCTCGAGTTCTTCGGCAGTAAGGCTTCTTCTATTGTTTTGCAGGCGATTCTCCTGTGCTAGAGCGACCACTATAGAATCCAGCAGCAACATCCTTCTTCCTTTCCGCCAAAACTATCACTTTTACTTTATTGTCTTTCTTCGCCTCTCTCACTCTCGCGGATGATCCAAAAAGTTTTTGGTGCTCCTAACCTTCAAGCCTTCTTCCCTTCTGGCCACAGATCTCTCGACAGTCACTGTGCATGGGATCTCACAAAACCCCGCGCTGGATGCGACGGCATTGATGGATGGATGGATGGCAAAATCGATCGATGCACGAATGCGCGATCTGAAAGAAAATTCGATCCATCGTGGTTGAATTTCATACCCTTTTGTCGGTGACCAGCCCAGCTTTTGATGAGGACAGCTACCCACGGGCACTATTACGAGCCATGTCGGCCACTTTCTTTTTTCCCCTCTTTTGAGTTCTTCCAAGATCTTCCACAGGTCGTGAGCTAAGAGACAAAGTTGCCTTTGGACGGCCGAGATTTAATGTACCAGAATATGCCGGTCTTTTGAATTTTAGGGCTAGGGCTTCATGGAAGCTGGAGAGGACGATGAGAGCGCTTCCCGGCCCTTCACGGCGCGGATCCGTGACTCCGCGCCGGCGCCCACTTGCCAGCTTCTTCTCTCCATGGTCGACGAGGCGCTCGCGATGATGAAGTAAGCTTGGGTGTGGCGCCCTCTTCCTTCCTGATCGAAATGTGGGCGATTCCTTCGTCTTAGGTGCCTCACCTATGTCTCCGAGAAGACACTGGAGAAGCTGGAGTTGTCCAAAGGAAGCCTGGATTCGGTAAAGAGGAATTTATTCGCTTCCTTCTTTGGTTTCGTGATGGTTTTATTTTCTGTGCGTGGTTTTGTAAGCCCAGGAAGCTTATGCGGCACTCAATGAGGTGAGGCTTTGCTCGGTAGCTTACGAGGCTGCGAGCGGGCCTGATATTCCCATCAAGGAGAAAGAGCTCTCCATCGCGACGTGGCGAGCTTGCTGGCTCTTCAGTGTAGATGAAAATTCTCGCGTTTTTTTTTTTTGAAATGATCGCTAAACGTTTTGTTTTGATGCGTTTGCTTACAAAGAATAGACTCGCGGGGCGGCACTAAATTACTTCTTTTCTACGAGGGAGGAACAATCGAAGAGCCTGTCAATGTTTTTTAGTATACTGGAAAAGGTAAGCGTGCCTTTCTTTGTCATGGTTCTGTGATCGAAACATCTAAATTTTCCAGTTCAGGAGTCTGGTTGTGAAACGATTGACGACAACACTCGAGGAAGAAAGCGCGATAAATGCCTACTTGGATGAAGTTTTCCGGCGCGAGGAGAGGGTATGGCGTGTTTTTTTCTAGCCGAAAGTTTCTGAGAGTTTCTCGTTTTATTGTCAGGCCATCAAAGATCACACAAGTCTATCTCAGCAGTTGCAGACTGAACGAGATCTACGCTCGAAAGCTTTCGAGGACTTCAAGTTTTCCGAGCGTCACTTGCAAGGCACACAGCCTCTACCGCGACTGACGCATTGGTGTCATTACGTAACACACCTGGGACTGCAGGAGAGATACAAGCGGAAAAGAACGAGGCTTTGGCAACGCTGAGACAGCTTCAACAGGACTTCGACGCCCTTGAAGACGATGAATCAAAGAGTTTCAACCAAAAGGTTAGCTACAAATGCTTTACTTTCGTTGCTGATTTCTGGCTCGTTTCTCTTATTTCCAGCAAAAGAAGTTCTCCGAAGAATGCACTCAGTTAGCCAGCACCATAGACAAAATGCAGGTCCTCGTTTCCGGTTCGTGACAAGTATCACATAACTTGTCGAGTTGCAGGAGGACAATCGTGCCTTGGAGCTCGCTGCGCGCGGCAAGAAAGAACAGAGCGTGGAGGAGGTGACTAACTTGCTGCGAGACTACAAAGCTGAGCTCGCAAAGAAGAAGGATGAGCTTGACAGATTATCCGTAAGTTTGACGAAAGTTTCCTCCCTTGATCTGCTCCACAAATTGCTCATCAGGTGCAACACAAAGAAGTGGACCAGAAAATGCGATTCTACAAAGAATACTATCGCCAGTGTGCATGGGAGGTCTGCTTCTATAACCGGATTGTTTTCTTCCTTTCTTGTAACGCGAGCTTCGATGATTGCAGGAGAATGAACGTCAAAGCTTGGAGGATGCCAATGCGGTAAGTGCTTTGTTTGCTGATAGAAAAAAAACATTTTTCTCTCCTCGTTCTTGCTTCACAGAGAGCAAACTTCAAGTTCAACAGATGCGCGAGGATCATACAGCGAAGATATCGCTACTTCATCAAGAAGAAAAAGGCCGAAGAAGCCGCTCGCAAGAAGGTGTGATTTGTGTGAGTTCTTCTTTGTAATTACTGACGCGAGCGCAATTTGGATCCACAGAAAGAAGCAGCTGCGAAGAAGAAAAAAAAGTAATTGGTTTGATCGACTCTCTTCTTCGTTCGTGGTTCCTTCTCAACCGGTTTTGCTATGTAAGAACTCTCGAAGTTCTTACATACTTCTCAAAGTTCTTCCATTCTTTGTCCTCGATTTTGCTGCTGGAAGCAAGAACTGCAAGGATCTCCTTTGCTCGAGAGCTGCATTGATGCAAATCTCCTCTTCTTCGTTCTTTAACTCATGCTATAAAGTTTCATTTCTTTCATGGGTTTTTAAACTATCGCCCTATGGCGCTGAGCGCCCCAGTGATCAAGACGATCGCCCAGAAGATCGCGCCCAAGAGCTGGCTGGTGCCCGATCGGAGGAGAACCTTCGATGCGCTCAAGGAGGAGGCGCGGCGCGTCCATCTGCTGCTCGAGGTCCGCGACGCACGGGTATGGGTCGCCATTTCTCTCCGGGGTTTAGCTAGGGTTTTTGCGATGCCGCCGCACAGGTCCCATTCACGTCCGCGAATCTCCAGTTCCAGCGCTTCCTCAAATGGAAGCACCACATCACCGTCTTCACCAAGATCGATCTCGCCGACAAAGAAAAGCTAGCAGTGAGTCTACATTCTCTTTTTCTTTCTTCTCTCTTTGATCTTCCTCTTGGCAGGAATGGAAGAACTACTTCAAAGGAGAGAACTATTTCTTCTTGAACTCCTATAGCAGGCACTGCGTATCAGCGGTAAGTTCCTCCATTCTTTCTCTTCCAGGCTCATGAATTTTTCGTTTTTCTTCTCTTAGCTTATGTCTCTCTTGAAAACCCGATTGCTCGAAGCTTCTCCATCGGATTCTACCAAAGTTGTGATGGTCGTCGGCCTTCCCAGCGTTGGCAAGACAACGCTCGTAAATGGCCTCCACCGCATTGGAAGGCGTCGTGTGCAAAGTAAGCCCAAAGTTCTCGTGGCTCTTCTCATTCTTTGTGTTCTATCTTTTTGATCCAGTGCTGGAAAAGCTAACCCTGAGCAAGGTCAGCCTCACTCCATATCAAACGACATCCTTCTTCAACTGCAAGGTATGGTGTTTTCTTTTTACGTTTCCCATCTGTTGCCACCACTTTTGCTATCAGATATGCTACCGTCCTCCCATGTATGCAATGGACACTCCATCAGTCATGTATCCTACCATTCTTGACGCTGAAACTGGGCTTAAGCTCTGTCTCACAGGTATCCAAGTTTCCAAAGTTTACCAGTGGAAAAAATTTGATCTTTTCTCTATGACCCGCAGGAGCTATGCAAGACTCGGTCGTGGGCGAGGTAAAGCTTGCTCGCTTCCTCCTTGCGGTGATCAACTCCATGCGCTCCAGCGTCCACTCCGTGTGGAAAGCCGAATTCGAGGCCAAGAGATTCATGAAAGACCCGCTAGACAAGACCAAGAAAACCGACAGAGTAAGCGAAGATCCATCCATTTCCTTCGATCTCTAAACATCTTTGCCCGCAGAAACTGATAAGGCTCGACGATAACTTCGTGCAAGTGAAGGGGATAATCGCGACGGAGCTGCTGAGCTTCGAGGGAGATCTTCGCCGCGAGGACGAGATGCAAAGGCTCGTGGATCATCAGTTCCGAGCGCTGCACGGATTCTACGAGAGCGTCCGGACGAGCCGGAGGATCATCACGGACTTTCGAATCGCGCGGAGGCTTCTAAGTTTGTACCGTGTGGGAAAGCTCGGCCGCTACACCTGGGACGCTGTTCCAACCATGAGCACCGAGCTACTCAAACATAATCTTAGCTAGCACTAAGACAATGACTGTTTAATTACCACTTATAGAGATTGTTGTTATTCTCTCTACCCAGTGATAAACCCTAGGGCGAGAGAGGCGAGGAGGAGAGCGATGGGCAGCAGGAGAATGAGCACGCAGATCTTTCCCGTGCGCCTCTCGGCGGCGCAGCAGGATGCGGCGTATTTCCACTCCTACAATCACGTCGGCATCCACGAGGAGATGATCAAGGTGAGAGCTTCTCGGGTTTTGGGTTTTGGGAGCTCAATGTGGTATGATAGGATCGCATTCGCACCGAGGCCTATCGCGATGCCATTTTCGCGCACCAGGAGGCGATCAAAGACAAGGTAGAGCTCGCTCTTTTTCTGTTTGCTCGAATTTTAGCTGTTTTCTTCTCTCTCCCAGGTTGTGATTGATGTGGGGTGTGGAACTGGTATACTCTCGATTTTCTGCGCTGCTGCTGGAGCGAGAAAGGTAGAATCCGCTACTTTCGGATCGCTCATCCTTTTTTCTTTCTTTTTCTTTCACCACAGGTGTATGCAGTGGATGCGAGTGATATCGCTGTCCAGGTACACTTCTTCTTTGTGTTCTTCCCGTGTTTTCGTGCTGAGAATTGTGTCTTTGGAAACAGGCTCGAGAGGTTGTGAAAGCTAATGGCTTCTCGGATGTTATAACAGTGATAGTAGGAAGAGTGGAGGTCAGTGATCTCTTGCGATCGATTTCGATTTACTGTGATGTTTCGTTAACGTTTTTTCTCGCCTTCCAGGAGATCCAACTCGAGGAGAAGGCTGACGTGATCATCTCCGAATGGATGGGCTATATGCTGCTATACGAGGTAGATTTATCGAGTGCATAGGACTCGGTGAAGTAACTATCTGGAATTCTTTGAATCGGCACTTAGGACGAGAACGTTCTCCGAACGTGCAGACTATGTTGCCGAGCGTCGTGTGTGCGAGGGATCGCTGGCTGAAGCCCGGAGGCTTGATGCTTCCTTCTTTTGCCACTGTAAGTCCCAAAAGATTTCGCTGCGAGAGATTTAACTCTTTCCTTTGGTTTTTTTTTTTTTTTTTAAGCTTTACATGGCTCCCATCACTAACCCCGACAGATATGGCGAGAGCATCGATTTCTGGCGCAATGTCTACGGATTTGACAGTAAGATATTGATTTCTTGTTTTTGTAAGTCTAACCACGCGTGTGTTTATCTCTTTTTTTGGTTTATCCAGTGTCTGCCATCTTGCCTCTTGCGAAGCAATGTGCTTTCGAAGAACCATGCGTGGAAGTGATCACCGCCGAGAATGTAATCTCATTCCCGATTCTGGTATTGTGATAAGACAAGATTTTTAGTGTCCTTGACATTCTGTAACTCAGGTGAAGCGCATCGATTGTAGCACAGTTACTCTGGAAGAACTGGAAACAGTAACTACAACTTTCAGTGTCCCTTCTATCATGAGAGGTATTCCTTGGAAACAAAAAAGATGCAAGAATTCTTTGATCATTTTTAACATCTTGCAGCCCATCTACATGGATTTGCTCTCTGGTTTAACGTGTCCTTTGGTGGTGATGCTTCTTGCCTGCCAAAAAGCAAAGCAGCCAGCAATGGGACAATCCCACTTGTTCTCTCGACTGCTCCGGAGGATCCTCCCACACACTGGGCTCAGGTGTGTAAGCTCCACGTTAAATTCCATCTCGCTGTTCTACACTTTCTTGAGCAGACAATCCTCTACGTCTACGAGCCTGTCGAACTTCAGCAAGACAATCTGATCTCGGGAACTTTCACAATGTCGCAGTGCAAGGAAAATCCACGCTTTCTGAACGTTCACATAGAGTACAGGTAAGCGTTTGGTCGTTTTCTCTCTGTGACAAGCTTTGTGGTGCCTTTGGCAGCTGCGGAGATCGTCACTTTGTGAAAGAGTCGGTGATGAGGTAGCCTATCGATGGCCACTATCAACTGTTTTTGCGACGTTAATTGTTAGGCCTGTCAGTTTTACAAGTTCTCTTCTTCTGACTCGTCTGGAACATGAAGCTTCTCTATCGCATTCTGCAAACTTCACAGTTAGATGTTGAGATCATTGGAAAAATTTCTACATACCTTGATGAGATTCACGTCTGCAGTGGATGGCTTGAGATCCAACGCGACACAAAAGTGATACATGGCACTCTCTGGCTGTCCCAGCCGCTTGTAGACTTTCCCGATCAAGAAGTAGACGCTGCTCTCGCGAGGCGCGACTTCTTTGAGTTGCTCCAGAACTCCGAGAGCGTCGTTGTATCTCTCCTCGCTCATTAGAACGTTCGCTTTCTGGTACTTTGGAAGAGGATTCTTGGGATCAGCCCGTATCGCTTCGCCAAGCAGTTCCAAAGCCTCGTGGCTCCTCTGCGATACAATTGGATTGTGAGTATTCTTGTCGATACGAGATGCGTTACCTTTAGAGCATGCAGCGCCATTCCCAGGTAGCAGTGGAGCACTGAAGAGCGTTCATTGATTTGCAAGGCACGACGGAAGTGGTACTCAGCCAACTCATATTTTTCCTGGCGTAGATAGATTGTACCAAGTCCATACCTTTATATGAAGAAGTTAAGGAAACAGAATATCAGATGAAAAAGCTTACCACGCGTTGTAGTGCCGTCCATCCATACGTATCGCGTTTCTATAGCAAGTAAGGCCTTCTTCGAAGTCCTCCATTGCAACATATCTACAAGAAACATACAATCAAATCGGAGCTTGACAAAACAATCAATTCAACTTACTCGTGTCCACATAGAGTGTACGCGTATGTGAAGTGAGAATCGAGTTGTAAGGCCCGCTGGAAAAACTTTAGTGCCGTTTCGTGGTCTTTCTGCAAACTAAAGCAGTTTCCAATCACACACCTGCACAATATGATTTTAGTTCACAAAAATAAGGTAGAACACTAGAGTTTACCATGCTTGTGGAGACAATCTATCCATGGATACCACTTCCTGTGCCAGATAGCTCAGTTCCACGTCCTTCTTCATGTGCTGGGAGTAATAAAACAGACCTGTATGGTCTTATTAATCGACTTTTGCAAGAAATGAACGAGATACAACTCACATAGAGCACGGTTGAGTAGATGTCAGTTCCTTCAAGCCTGTAGGGTGACACTCTCCGAGCCCAACTGAAAGCACGCTCGGCTTCTGCGTAATCCACCATCTCAAAGTATGCTCTTCCGATCTGTATGTAGCAATGAATACTTGGAACACAGTTGGAAAACCGAAAGAAAACTCACTTGGCATAAAACCCACCCAGTCTCATACTGATTTTGTGGGAGCTTCGCAAAAGCTTCTAGTGCTTCCTGCAATCAAAGCTCTTTCAAATGTAAAAGCGAAAGAATAAAGTTTAATACCTGACTTTCGTACATACAAACATGCTTGAAGCCTTCACCAAGGACTTTTAGAAGAGCCAAGAGTTCTGTAGCACCCTCCCCAAGCTTCGAGCCCCGGGACACAAAGCCAACGGAGACACTGCGCCGAAGTTCGTCATCTATCACAGGAGAAGACTGCTGACTGCTGGTATTTGACATTTCATCGCTTCCAAGAGTTTCTAAGCTTTCGTAAACCCTTCGGCCTGTAAATACATTATGCTCGGTTAGTGTCCATGCGCAACATAACACTTACCATCATCAAGAGGACCTTCGGCACTTCCGGAAATAATCTTACGCGAATTAGAAACACGGACGGAGCTATTGCTGGATACCCGGACGCTCGCAGTTGACGTAGGTGTTGACACGGCTACAGGACTTGGAATTGAGCAAACATTGATTGTGGATGGAGACTCGGCAGAAAGCCTCAAACTCCGCCTGGGAGGCTCAGTGAATAATCTACCGGACACCTACTTTGAAAGCACATGAATAAAAACAGACCATAAAATGGAAACCAAAAGAAACACCTTTCGAAGCTTTCCTTCGTCAAGGAACTTTCGTCTCTGAGGATGAACGGGAGCAACAGTACTCTTTGTAGTCACTAACTGGAAAACCGATTCAGAAATGAAAAATAAAGTCGATGTCAAAACTTAAGGTGCCAAACCTGAGAAACGCTTGGAGAAGGCGTGTTGTATGTATACTGAGACTTGACTTCCCACTGAGATTGTGATAGTGGATCTTCCTCAACACCTGGAAAATAAAACGTTGAAAATAACCAGCTCAACTCAGACGGTTCAACAGTACCTAGCAGACACAAATCTTCGTAAGCTGACCAAAAGAATGGATCCAGAGACAGCGCCTGCGTGTAATGCGCAATAGCAGCTTGTCTGCGGTCCGTAAACCGACAGATAAGTCCTAGCAGATAGTAACCGGCTGCTCCATTTGGAACCTTGGAAAAACCACCAAGAAAAAATTAAGCATGAGAGAAAAAACCACAAATGTGGCTCCTGTACCTCGGATGGAGAATCACTGGGTTGTAGCGCAGCTTCAGCTTCAGCCATATTACCCATTTCAAAGCAGGCCAGTGCAAATAGATACCGACACTGTGGCGATTTAATGCCTGAAAGGAAGAACAACACCACGGCACAATGAAAGATTTCAACAAGCAAAAGAAGAACCAAGAACTACGCCCTAGAACTACGAAGAAATCAGAGAAGCCAGTGAACGAACCATAGCAAAGAACTACATTTTTCTCTTCTAAAGAGAGAAAAAGGCAAAAACGAACCTTTAAGGAGGTAATATGTGCGGTATGCTTGATTGCTCCGAAAATAACAGGTCGCGAGAAGGTGAAGATTTGCCTGCAAGAACAGAAGAAATGGATGAAATCGACGCTGGAGAGATTTCTCGATTTCTCACCTCGGTAGCGCTCTCCGCGTAGAGGCGCTCGCAGAGGAATGTGGCATTGCGATACATGTAGAGCTTCAAGGACGCATTGATGCTGTCGACGAGGCACGCCTCCATAGCCGAGCTCATCCCCCCTCTCCCTCCAAAAACCCTACTTACGCCCTACGCGAGAATATACCCTCGTCCTTCTATTTATCACAGTAACCCTATTTCTCTCTTCCTTTTTAGAGAGCCATGATCGTGGAGCCAGCGTGTGGATTCTTCGATGCGATGGACAGGGAATGGGGCTCGCGGCGAGCGATCACTGGAGCAATGCGGTGAGTACTCCGCCCTGGGATTCGGCTTCGATCTGTGCTTCTAGCGTCTCTAAGAGCGCTCCCGGGAGGGAGATTGGAAGATTTCTCTCTTGGGAGTGGCACTCGTGTGTCTCCTTGCTCTAACCCTAGCATTGGGGAGTGTTCTAAGCTTTCTTTCTTTCTTCCTTTGCTTTGTAGGTGATCGTATGAGGAGTCTTCTTCCAACGCGAGATGCCTTACAGTAGCAAGGAACCGTGTGAGACAATGGCTAGAGTTTCCAAAGCTCCTATTGTTGCATGCTTGACGTGCCCTCTCTGCGGCAATCTCTTCCGCGAGGCCACGACCATCTCCGAGTGTCTCCATACCTGTAAGTTTTGTATTCGGCTTGGATAGTACTTCTAATTGTTTTCTCGTTTCCTCTTTTTTTGTGTTCTTCTATCGTAGTTTGCAAGGATTGTATCCACGATCGATTCAGTGACGAAGAGACCAACTCTTGTCCAATGTGCAATGTTGATCTAGGAACAGTGCCACTGGAGAAGCTCAGGTAAGAAGTTTGGACCTTGGATACATTTCTTCTCAGTTTAATAGCTTTGCAGGGCCGATCCTCAGCTGGATGATGTGCAAGCGAAGATTTTTAATCTCAATCCGAAGAAGCGCCCCGCTGCTCACATTGCTGCGTCGCCACCCTCGCACACGCCCGCTCGCAGAAAAGAACGGTCGCTGTCCTCACTCGGGGTGACTTCAGTGCCGTCGTCTTCGAGACGCAGGTCGAGAAGGAAAGCTTGGGTGACGGAATCGAGCGAGAGCTACGAGGAAGAGGAGGACGATGACGACAACAGCAGCGACGCAGCTGATGAATCTCCGGAGGACACCATGTACTGCTCCGAGACGCTCGACTCGGATACCAAGTCACCCATGAGAAGCGGTTCGAAAAGGCAAAGGGCTACTCGTGGCAACTCCGTGGGAAACACCGAAGCAAAGCAGTCTGGAGGTAGCTTCTTATCTCCGCTAGCCTGCCTTGCAGAGCTAGCGCATGCCGACGAGAAGGGCAGGGCCAGCTCGGGGCTCATGAAAGAGGCTAGAGGCAGAGAAGCCTCGTCACTGAGAGCTACGAAGAATGTCCGACGGTCGTCACAGGCCAAGGCTGCTGCGAATGGTGGTGGTGGTTTCAAGTGCCAGACTTTGCCTTCGCCATCGACTCAAAGCAACGGGCTTTGGTTCACTTTGACAACAACTAACCAGTGAGTCACTCTCTTTCTTTTCTGTCCTCGTTTCTGACTTGGAGCTCTGGGATTTACAGAGGCGAGGAGGGCCTTCCACAGATCAAATCGCCCTACTTAAGAATCAAGTACCAGCATTCCTCGTCAGTCTCATCTCTGATCGACGGTATTAACAAGTTTTTATGTTGCAGGGATGGAAAAGTTCCAGTCTCCTTCGTGAAGAAGTACTTGGTCAGGAAGCTGGATTTAAAGAGCGAATCCGAGGTACAGCCACTATTTACGTTTTTGAGCTGCACAGTTTCATTTCGTTTTTTTTTTTACTTATAGGTGGAGATAACCTGCAAGGGACAGCCAGTAGTCTCAAGCCTGCCCTTGGAGAGCGTTCGAAAGATCTGGCTCACCAAAGACCAACTCTCGAGCACCTCGGAAGACCGCGCAAGCGCGCTGGGCAAGGACTTCCTCATGGTCCTGTCCTACGGGAGAAACAGGCGAGCAGCAGCCGTGAGCTAGTGACTGCTCTCAAATGTGTGTTGTACCTCTAACGACATCTGAAAAGGCGTGTTTTTAGTTCATTGGGGGCTGGTCTAAATCACCCATCGCTGGAGTTTCACACGACCATGAGAACTGGAAGCTCTTCCTCGCGCAAAGTTGATAATTCACGCGTCATCGCCCTGCTGCGTCCAGATGCGTACGTGCTCGTCGCTTGAAATATGCAGCTGCAGTTTCAGGATGATGCATTGCTTATTAATCCGCTTATTTTTTATGCCACTTTCGTATTGGATGAGAACTTGAAAAGCATATATTATCTCGGGTACCGGCTGAGGATGTAACGCTGTTGTGTTTGGTGTGCTAGCCTTCTATATGATCCACATTTCAGAGCACTACGGGCCAAGGACAACATAAGCTTCTTTCTCTGGCATATAGGACATTATAATAAACACTGTCTAAAACTCGAAATACAAGCCTGTGCACACAGGACATTATGACAAACACTGTCTAGAACTCGAAATACAAGCCTGTTATGACAACAGCAACAAAAACAGGTTCTTTCTACAGCCAGTATCTCCTGCTTTGCGATCTTGGTTTGCGATCTTGATTTGTGCCAGATGGTTCAGAGCCACTCTTATCTGCAAGGGGCCTCACAGTGGGGATGAGTGACGAGTTTGTGTATATGCTGGAAATTGGAGGTGAGATTGGAATGCTTCACCTGATGACGGATCCTGCATCAGTCGTGGTTCTGGATAGGCAGCAAGGTGGTGGTGATTGGATATGGAAGACTGTGTCAACGTTACCTCAAGAAATGGAACCAGGTATTATTGGGACCATGGAATGCTGGACGCATGGGAAAGATACATTTGTTGCTCTGTCTGTGAAATTTGATTCTGAAACCTTCATGTGGGAGTGGGCTGAGAAAGGGAGACGCTTTGAATTGGAGAAGATGGTAGTTTTGAAGCCTAATCTCAATGTCCCCAGCTTGGAGCTAAAGGTAACTTGCGCCAGCCGGTGTCTGGACTGAATATTAGAAAGTGTTTAGGAAAATTTATAAATTAACTGTGACTGATATGCTTTTGGCAGCATTGAAGGCATTTAGGAACCGAGGCAAACAGGAAAAACAAAGATTTGGTGCTTACCATTTGTGTTCCAATCAATTGTCACTTCTCCAATCTCTTGCCACAACTTGCTTTTTGACTTGAGGATCTTTGCAGTAACTGTTGAAAGTGGATAACAACCGCAAGAAATTTGCACTTGATATGTAATTTCAGGTTTTAGATACATTTCTGAGGTATGGTTTTCCTGGACTGAATCTAGGTTCTATACCTAGGTTTGAACATTAATTGCTACGTTATCCCAGTTCTTTTGCAGCGTACCATGCAGTGGTAAGGCGTTTTTATTTGGTAGTAACTTTGATAGAGAAAAGAATGCTGTTGGTACCAAACATCTCGATTCATTTAGCTCAAATATGAATCGGAGGTAACTACTACTTACGTTTGAGCCACTTCCTTAGGTTTGAGCCGCACGGTTCATTTCCACTTCTTTGGTCCTTCTTTTTCTTCATGAGTGACCTTGCAAGGTACCACTGGTGCAGCCGAGCCTGCGACCGAAAGATCTGGCTCACCAAAGTTCTAACTAGAGGAGGATGAAAAAACAAAAAGAAAGTGATCACAAGCTCTCACCCGACGAGGCATCCTTGAGATCTGCCAGGAAGATATCCGTGAGAACAGTGTTCGAAACCAGTGATCTTCTCAGCAGCTCCTGCACCTACAGCAAAAGCACAAACTCAAGCTCATTCGACATCTACGATGGAAAAGTAAGTACGCGAGCTGGAGTGACGGCAATCTCCACAATGCCAAGGTCGCGGATGTTCTCAAGTTTCATCGTGCGGAGCAGCTCAAGGGTCTTGGTAGTCGACGCTGGCGCTGGAAAGATCTCAAGATCATTGGTTACGATGTACTCGACACCTCCCTTCACGAAAGTAGCTTGTGCCGAATCATCCTTCACATAATAACTCGGTGTTTCTGAATAACGATAGCTGGAATGAGCTATACGATAAGTCGGTGGAATTTGTGGATTCGTGAGCAGCTCCTTGGCCACCACCATGTTGCCGGACTGGAACTTCTCGACGCTGGAGTAGACATTTGCGATGGCTCCCAGATTGCTGGACCCCGTGAGCTTCAGCATCCGGCCGATTGGCACCAAAAGGAAGCCGAAGAGATGGTCCACAAACTCCTTGTTAGCTTCTAGGAAGAGAATTGCTTTGGTGGGCTTCTTGTAGAGCAGCCTTACCGGGAGATCCATTGCAACGAAAAAATTGTAAGGCCTTTTCTACCAGCTCTTTAATTAGCATGATTAGTGCTAATTTTATAACCACCTTTTAAAACCAAACCGAGTTAATCAAGCTGGCAGGTCTCGTTGAGCACTTTGACACCATCAATATCTTCACCATCTACGATTCATCAAACAATGACTGAGAGAAAGACTTGCCAGATTGCGAGTGACCGTGATCTCGATGCTGCCCAGATCCCCATGTCGTCCTGTTCTTGACGAGCAGCATGATGCTCTTGACGGTATGTCGAGCTCGAGCACTTGTAGACCTTGGTGAGGAAGTTGGGCATCTCGCTGCTACGCCGGATGGCTAGCATCGCTCCCGGCAAGCCATCGGCGCTGCGGGATTGGTGAGAGCCTCCTTGGCCACCGACAGAAGCTCGAGCCTGTCGATCACGCTCCCGTGGAGATTGGCGATGGCGCCCAGCTCCTTGTCGTGCTTGCCGGCGGCGCCGCGGACGAGATTCATGACGCTGTCGGGAGAGGAGGAGGCTGAGGAGCGCATCCACGAACTCCTTGTTGGCCTCGAGGAAGAGGACCGTGCTGGCGGCCTGGCAAGAGAGAGATGCAAATTCACGAGAAGAAAGAATGTGGATCAGGGTTTTAAGTAGGAAGAAATATCCTGGATCACCCTGACCTCTTCTAGATCTTATGATCTCATCTATACCAGTCTTTTAGTTTTTGGCGGTGTTTACTGGTGTTCGGATAAGATAGGAATTTGTCTGCAAGCTCCAAAACCCAACCCGATCAAGCCAAGAAGAAGCAATAATTTCAAGAGCTAAAAGTAATGTATAATATAGTGGACACGAACGCATGTTGTACCAGAGATCAGGCCAAGTTGTGTTGGAACAAACACAAAATTACTAAAACTTACATGATTCATCCACAGAGTGAACAGAAGAACACGGCTAGCCATATTCTTATCAATATTTCTTCTTTTCATGGGTCCAAGTCAAGAGCCGCTCAAACAGTAACAAGAGTCTGTACAAAAAACCCCCTGTATATACCGTGTAATTGACTCTACATGTAATCTCATACTTCTCGGCACTATAAATGCCTCCTCGGCCTTCATTGGCATCATCCATCCCAGAAATCAAAGCTTCTCATAGCAAACTTCTCTCCAAAATCTTTCTCATCTCACTCAACTCAATCAAGAAGAATTCTTCGCTAATGGCAATGGTGGCGAGCTACTCTTCTCGCGTGGCCTTCATTGGAGTGGTAGTCATGCTCCTCTTAATCGGCGTGGACGTTGGCAATGGCATCGCAAAGGCCCAGGCACAAAGCTGTCGGTCCGGTTGGCACTGGTCCGGTGGCAGGTGCATCCAATGCCCGACCGGGTGGTACTGGTACAATAGCAGGTGTAACCAGTGCCTGTCCGGGTGGTACTGGTACAATGGCAAGTGCAACCAGTGCCTGTCCGGGTGGTACTGGTACAATGGCAAGTGCAACCAGTGCCAGTCCGGTTGGTACTGGTACAGTGGTAGCTGCCACCAGTGCCCCGGTACTGGCTGCTCCAAGAACTGAGGAAGAAATTTACCATTATTTCACATGGTAAAAAGAGATTATATTGTGTGTGCTGTGTTCTACTGGATTTCGTTTTTTTACTGTGTGTCGAAGTAAATAATGCCAAGGTTGTTTGGCAGAGTTTGATATCTTTTGTCTATTTGCTCTTTAAGAAATTTACCTTGTTTTATCCTTCGCGCTCTAAAGACGTAGACGATATCTTGGTAAATATTTCCAGGGTTTTTCGATGATGCTCGTCGAGGAGCGCCACTGGGAATCCGCACGGCGCGGCGCGGCGCGGCGAGCTGGATGCGCCGGATCGAGCGCCAGGGATTGATTCCCGTGAAATGCAGGTCCCGGGAGCTCGATCGGCTAATGCTGCCGGCAATCCTAGGAGAGGGCGGTGATTTCAAATGCGCTTCGCTCAATCATTCCACTCGAGAATCCTCCCGGCGATGAGCGGACACGATCGCAGATCTGGCGCCCAGGTGAGTGGAGTGAAAGCGAGTGCTATCTAGCCTGGCGCGTCAAAGTACTCGCTTGTCGTCGTGCTCTCCTGCTGTAGGGTTGTGCGCAGTCCTTGGCGATGGCGCATCGTCGTAGCTTCCGGGACGCTATCGAAATTCTCAACGGTCTAATCACTAAGAAGCGTGGTGGAGGGGAGCAGTGGTGGATTTGGATCGTTCGTCAAGCACCCACGATAGCAGCCGATGGGAGAACCATTTCCAGCTCGTTGCTGACCATCTAAAGGTACCATTTTTTCTTCGGTTTTTGGTTTCTTCTCGAGCTTTTTTTTTTCCTCCTTCAGCTGCTCGGGTTGGAGGAGCCAGTATCGAAATTAAGCGTAATTCATGTGGCTGGAACCAAGGGAAAGGTACTTAGAACCAGTTTCTTTCTTTTTTGACGAGCCTTGGTCTGTGACAGGGTTCTACTTGTGCATTTGTGGAGAGAATTTTGCGAGCTTCTGGTTTCCGGACTGCTCTTTTCACCTCGCCTCATTTGCTAGACATTAGAGAACGATTTAGATTGAACGGGTAAGTGTTGTGGTGGCATTATCAAGTTTACAGTGCTCGTTTAAACCAGGGAGGAGGTCTCCGAGGAAACTTTTAACAAGTATTTTTGGTGGTGTTGGGATCATCTCCAGGTGGGTTAACCTGGTTTGTTCTTTTTTCTTTGTAATTCATAGGCAAATGCAGGCAAATGAGGCTCCCTATGCCACGTCTCTTTCGGTTCCTCACAATTTTAGCATTCAAGATGTTTACGTCGGAGGATGTGAGAAAACTAGACTATGTTTTTTAATATTGCTTTACGGCTTAACTCGTGACCAACAGGTTGACGTTGCTATCTTGGAAGTCGGTTTAGGAGGTCGCTGTGATGCAACCAATGTGGTAAGCAGCTACGCTGCCGATGAAGTTGACTTGTCCTTTTGTTTCTCAGGTTCGAAATCCAGCCATCTGTGGAGTAGCATCACTCGGCTACGACCATACGTGCGGCATGCCGCGAAGCTAATGACCGGAATGCCGCTGCTATTAAACTAAGGCGGACACTTTTGAAAACGTTTGCCAATGAGTAGAAAATTCCTCGACTCGGCAAGCCAAGACGGCCACTTTGTGGCTCTGCACACTCTACAATCTGTCTGTGGAACCAACTGAGGAGTATTTGCGGCAATGCGCTCTGATAGAACACTACCAACGCGTTTCTTGGGAGACCAGCTAGATTTAAAGAGTGAATCACAGCTTCATTTCCATTTCTTTTCGTTAATCAAGTGGAGATACCCCGGATTACCCAGTAGTATGGGTTCTTAACGCGGTCCTCTTCCTGGAAGCTAGCAAGGATTTTGTGGACCATCTCCTCGGCTACTTTTTGGTACCAATCGACCGCATGCTCAATGCAGAACCGATGGAATATTCCATCTGCTGCCACGTCAGAATGAACAGCCGAACAGCCGATCATCGTATGTAAGGGAGGAATTGAGGAAGAATAAAAGATGCCTCAACTAAGAAAATTGTGTGAATGAGCAGCTTCAAGTGCGAAGGGAAGCAAGCACTGTGAACAGCAGGTTTACCTTAGAGCAAATACCTGGTGGTAGAATAATTCCCTGCCATGGAACAGACCGGGTTCGATTCCCAGGCAGTGCACAGGTATTTGCTCTAAAGTAAAACTGCTGTCCACAAAATACCCTTGCTTCCCTTCATACTCAAGGCCACTCATTCACACTTTGTCCTTTGCTTCCTTTTGCTTTCCTTCATACTCAAAGCCACTCATTCATACGATCTATATGATCTAGAGCACTCTGTTCTACTCAAAGCACTCATTCATACGATCTAGAGCACTCTGTTCCTTCATACTCAAAGCACTCATTCATATGATCTAGAGCACTTTGTTGAGGAACTCTTCGTCAAGGCATCTTTTATTCTTCTTCACTTCCTCTCTTACATATAATGATTGACTGTTTTGACTGCAATATGGGAGCCATCACAAACGCCAAAGATGGTGGTGGACAAAGAGCTGCTCATGAATCCACAACTTCCATGGACTCATTACTCCCATATATGGTATTTCAACATGCATGAAGGTGGATCCACCATGACCTACTTTTTGAGGGAAGGTGCGGATTACATTGTAACTGATTATCTAGAGATCTTTCCAGCATCGACGACCAAGACCCTTGAGCTGCTCACCACAATGGAAGTTGGAAACATCAGCATTGGCATTGAGGACACTGTCGTCACTCCAGCTCGAGTAAGTTGTCAATCATAGATGTGGTTTCAACGAGCTTGACTGTGCCTTTGTTGTAGATGGTGGAGCGCTAGTTTCAAAGACTGTTCTCACCAGAGTCTTCCTGGGCGAAGTTGGGATCACTTTCTTTTTGCTTTTCCATTCCTCTGATATTTAGAACTTGGCTCGTGCATATTAAATTAGGTTTTTTCCCGATACTTAGCTACACCTAAGTCAATGAAAAACAAAGAAGGAAGACTCTTGCCTGTCTCTGGAAGACATCAGTGAGAACATTCTTCGCCGGGAAAAAAGAAAGGTGGCAAAACTTACGACTTGATCAAGCAGGCGAAGAAGTCCCTGCCGGGAGATCAGCCTTGAAGACGTCGTTCAGCACCGTCTTTGACACCAACGATCTTCTCAGTATCTTCACCATCTAGAGGAAAAAAGAAAAGATCAAACGATCCATCTCTCAGGAAAAAAAGCTTACCCAATCACGAGTGACCATGATCTCGATGCTGCCCAGATCGCCCATGTTTTCCACCTTATTCTTGACGAGCAGCATGATGCTCTTGACGGTGGAGGTCGGGAAGACCTCGAGACCATCAGTGATCATGTACTCCACATTGTCCTTGACGTAGCCGGAGTGTGGCGGCGCCGCTGGATCCGCCACCACCGCCACTTTGTAGATGTCGGTCACGGGCTCTGTGAATCGGGAGCAGTATCCCCCGCAAGAACACTGCTGATTGATCACGGTGCCAAAGTTGCGGCACTGGGAGCTCGAGCACTTGTAGACCTTGGGGAGGAAGCTGGGCATCTCGCCGCTAGGCTGGATCGCTAGCATGGTGCCCGGGAAGCCCAGCGGCGCAGCGGGATTGGTGAGAACCTCCCTGGCCACCAAAAGCTTCTCCTCCAGCTCCAGCTTGTCGATCACGCTTCCATGGAGATTGGCGATCGCGCCCAGCTCGTTGTCGTGCATGCCAGTGGCGCCGCGGACGAGATTCACGACGCTGCCCATGGGGAGGAGGAGGAGGCTGAGGAGCGCGTCCACGAACTTCTTGTTGGCCTCGAGGAAGAGCACCGTCCTGGTGGATTTGACGAAGAGGAGGCGCACGGGCAGCGCTGGAGGGGCGGGATTCATCCTGGCAAGCGAGAAAGAATGGATCGATCGATCGATAGGCCGGCCGATCGGGAGCGCGATCGACGCAAGGAAAGAGGGTTAGGGTTTAAGGAAATGTGGGGTTAGGCCTAGGGTTTAAGCACTCCTCGAAATTCCTCCCATGTCCAAAACCTGGAGGTTTCTGGCGCTCGTCCATGCCGCTGCCGCAGATCCGCAACGGCACAAGGTGAGCCGCTCTCAAATCGGGATCCACGCGCTCGTGGGAAATGGCGAGTTCTCCGCGGCCTTGGAGTGCCTGGAATCTGCGAGCCCGGGATTGCGGTGGAAATGGATCCAGGAAAGTTGATGGAGCTATGGTGCCACGCTCTAGCAGTGAGCTCTGGCTATCTATGTGCTCAACATGCTGTGGAAGGCTGGGAAGCTTGGCAGATGCTAGAAGCGTCTTTGAGGGGATCGAGAACCCGGACTTGGTTTCCTGGAACGCGATGATCCAGAACTTCCCGGAAGAGCAAGCTTTGCCGGATTCTCACACCTTTGTAGCAGCAGTGAAGACTTCCACTCGTCTTCCACGGCAAATAACTCTTTCTCTAGAGACCGGGATGGCTCTTCACGCTTGAACCCGGGACAGTGGCTGCGACTCCAACGTTTTCGTGGGAAGCTGCTTGATCGACATGTACTCGAGCTTCGCGAGTATGGCCGATGTGCACAGGGTGTTCCAGGCGATTCCTCGCAACGACGTCGTCTCGTAGACGTCTCTGGTGCTCGGGTATGCCGAGAACGGCGAGCCGGAGCTGGCGCTAGAGTTCTTCCAGGACATGCAACGAGAAAAGGTGGTGCCAAACGCCCAAGCTTTCGTCGCGGCTTGCACTGCTCTAGCGGCGAGATCCAGAGGAGGCTACTGTCCAGAAAGCAATGGCTCTACACTCTCAAGCTCACGCAGGGAGCCACGGCGCCAACATCTTTATCATTATCACGTCGCTGGTGGATCTCTACGCCAACTGTGGAAGCATGGTCGATGCCCATAGAGTTTTCGACGCGGTTGACAAGCTCCAGCGCACGTCCTTGGCTCTCTGGAACGCGCTGCTACTAGAGAACGGAGATCCAGAGCTGGTGCTAGAGTGGTTTCCAAAGATGGAGCTGGAGTTACTGCGAAACCAGCTCCGTCGGCCAGACTCCCGGAGCTTTGCGTGCGCATTCAAGGCCTGCGGTGGTGCTGTGGCTCTCTCCACAGGCAAAGCTTCCCACGCCAGAGTTTGCCGGCTCGGTCTGGATTTCTACGCAAAGTGTGGCAGCCTCGCCGATGCCCCGCAAGTTTTACGACTCCCAGATCTCCGGAAGCAACTCGACTATCACCTGGACAGCGTTGATGGCCGGCTACAGCAGGAAAGGCGACGCTACTCAGGTGCTCGAGCTCTACCGCGAGATGGAGGCCGGAGGGATAGAGCCGAGCTCAGCCACGCTCCTCTCCATCTTGCAACCACGCCGGTAGGCTCGAGGAGATCAAGGTCTTCTTCGCGGCAATGCGGACCAAGTATAGGATCAGAGCACTTATCGATGATGTACGAGGTGCGCTAGAGATGGCGAGGACGATGCCTAGCGAGGCGGATGCTGTGACTTGGATGACTTTGCTGGGGGCGCGCGAAGGATGCAGCTAACGGGAAGTTGGTGTTTGATTCGCTGCTAAATCGTGATGGAAGTAGCAGCGTGGCTGGAGCTTGCTCGATCATGGCCAGCATTTATAGCCAGCACTGGAACTTATCATTCTTTGATTACTTCGTTACAGTGGAATCACTGATGTAAGGTGGCTGTCACCCCAGAGAACAAGCCTTCTTCGGGCTTGGAAGCAAAATCAAAGGCTTTGGTCTTGGCTTCCTTGTTGGAAGAAGCTCGGAAGAAAGCGATAAGGAAAAGTACTCTCTCGCCTGTGAGTACCTGGATGCACACTTCGGCCACATGGAATGCTCTTGGTGCTAGTGTTGAGCAGCTCAGCCAACGATGAGCTCGCGCTTGCCTCTCTCATTGTCGATCAATCCATCAGGCCTAGTTACAAATGGAACAGCCCCGAGATCAAGATCGCATACGGCCTCTTCCAGATCTATACAATACGATGCATGTCTCTTACCAGGATTTTGACCACCCTATTTATAATATTGAAGAGAGAAGAATTCCAGACTTTCTTAACGAGATGTGCGACTAAGCTAGATTTAAAGAACGAAACGGAGTTTGAGCAAAAAGAAAAAGATCGTGAACTCAGCTTTTAGGGATTTTGTTACGAAGGTGGAGACTTTTGAGTGCGGTAGAAACTTTGATACTAAAGAACACTGTTGGTACAAACATCTTGATTCATTTTTTAATATGTATCGGAGGTACAGGTTTGAGCTGCACAGTTAATTTCCACTTCTTTGTTCCTTCTTTTTCTTCATGAGTGACCTTGCAAAGTACCACTGGTGCAGCCGAGCCTGCGAGCGAAAGATCTGGCTCACCGAAGTTCTAAAAACAAAAAGAAAGTGATCACAAGCTCTCACACGACGAGGCATCATGTCTAGCCTTGAGATCGGCAGGAAGACATCCGTGATTCGAAACGAGCGATCGTCTCAGGAGTTCACGTACAGCAAAGGCACAAAATCAAGGTCGTTCCACATCGATCGACAACTAAGTACCCGACGGCAATCTCCGCAATGCCAAGGTCGCGGATGTTCTCAAGTTTCATTGTGCGGAGCAGCTCAAGGGTCTTGGCAGTCGACAACGGCAAGATCTCGAGATCATTGGTTACGATGTACTAGACACCTCCCTTCATGAAAGTAGCGAATCATCCTTCACATAATGTGGTCATAATGTGGGATCTCAAGCCAGAGAACATCTTCGTCAAGCTGGACTCTGCACGAGGAGAACTTTGTGGCCATAGAAGTGGCTAATAACACCAGGTTATAGAACTGCCAGCAGCAAGATTCGAAGTTAGCGAGAAAGCTTTCTTAAATTTCCAATTGACCACCCGGTACAACTCCAATTCAGAAGCTTTCGTTAGATCTAGAGAATAGCAAACTCTAGCACGCTGATCCAATGAAATCGCTAAAATCAACCAAGAACACAGGAAAAAGAGTTTGCAGAGCAGAAATTCTTACATAATACTTATAATGATGTCTCGCTCGTTGGCGCAAGCTGGTTCTGTGCGTGAGTGAAATCACAATGCAAGAGGAAGGAGAGTCATCGGGCAGCAATTCCTGTGTTTGTGCCGGTGTGCTAAAAGCAGTAAAAAATGTTAATGTGGAGCGAGGCGAGAAGAGGAGTGAGAATTCCAGCAATTCTTTGGTGCTGAACTCACCTACTTAATGTTTTCTCCTTCTTCCCGAGAAAAGACGAAGCCACCGACCACTGTCTTGGAACCTGGGAATCCATCTTCCCATCCCAAAGATGGCTAATTCTTCAATTTTTGTAGATAAGCTCCCGCGGAAACAAGGCATATACAAGAATATTTTTTAAATCTTGCTTAAAAGCTTACAAGATGGATTTATGGTTCCAAAGCTCGGCAGTGATAGTGCTCTTAGGTCTGTTCGAGGACACTAATCTTCTGTGCCCTGATAAGTTCAGCCCAAAAGGTAAGTGTTCGTTTTCTGATTTACATGTGCTTTGCTTTGAACAGTGTTGCAATCGCTTCAATCCTGGTGGCAGGATTATGTCTGGAGTTTGAAGCTTGAGGATATTGCAGCGGGCAAGGTTATCCGATGCAAGCCCCTCCTAGGAGCACACAAGAGGTTTCCTGGCTTGTACGTAAGGAGGATGTATGACTCGTTATTTGCGGAGATCTGTTCCGAGTCTGGATACGCTAATGGCGATTGGCTTTGCCATCTAAACGGCAACTCTGGCGTGGGCAAGTTAGCATTCCTTTGGTACTTCATCATCAGAGGCGCTATAGAGTTAAGAGATACCGACATCGACGAGGAGCTGCTCATTCTCTACGAGTCTGCCGGCTTCATATGGGAGTTCAAAGGCAATACGCTCCATGTGGCAAAGCGTGACAACGTCACTCTGGACACGTTTTCCTGGCATCTGATAAATCAAAAAGTTCCCACAGATGGTGCTCTGTGTTAGTTGCGGCTTCGCCAGCAGCGGAAAATGTCAAAGCTGCCAAGGCCGACTGGAAGAAGACTGTTATGTACATGTACCCGTGGGAGGAAGATGAGTACGCGGGCTTGGTGGAGTTGTGGAAGATTCATTACCAGAACCTCAAAGCTGAGATAGAAACTCTTCGGGCTAGCCTGCGCAGTCTTGAGAGGTGGGCAAACGTGAAGTATAAGTTTGGGGACACCATGGTGCAAATTTCATCTGGCAGTGCAGATTTGGTTCAACTTCCCATTCTGAAAGAAAGCGTACAGCAAATGCTGCGGGAAGATGTCAAGGAGCAGGGACGGCCAGCAAGACAGTTAGCTTTTAAACTCCAGGTGCTCATCGAAACGCTCGAGAAACAGGTCCAGGACGGCTTCCAGCTGCCATCCAGTAGCGGCAGAAGCTCTTCAAACTCATATCAGTGCTCTTCGTGCATGGAACGATATCTACGCCGGGACCAGTAAGCCGCACCTGAGTGGAGTTTGTACTCTGCTTCCTCCTGGCGGAATCGAACTATGACGAATTCGGCTTCCAGAGCTCCCGCGACAAGTCCCGTAGGGTAACAAAAAAAGCTGCGAAAGGTTCGTTGCATATGCTTTCACTGCAAGCTGCTCATACTTGTAGGAACAAACGATGCAGGTATTCGCCAGTGCAAAGTGCTGCTGCGGTACAACGTTCCCGTTCGATGTGCGGAGGAGATGGAGATTCCCAAGGGTGTCGACATCGAGCAGTGCAAGTTTGACGGTGAAGTGTAGCTTTTTTGATCCAGGGGAGGACCTCCGACGAGACGAGGGGTTGAGTTCGAACAAGAATGCCTACTGAAATGTAAATCCGTCTTGTTTAGAAAGTTTGCCAACTTCCTCTAAGCCCCTTAAAGTATGGGGTTAGGGTTTAAGCAAAAGGAGGAAATAGAGGGAAAAAGGAATCCTCGAAATTCTCCAGGAGATTTCTGGCGCTCCTCCCCGCCGCTACCGCAGATCCGGAGCGGCACAAGGTGAGATCATGGATCGCCGCTCTCAAATCGTCCAGAGATCTACAACAGGTGAGGGAAATCCATGCGCTCGCGGCCGCCGAGGGCAAGCAGCTAGATTCCTCGAGCGTCTACCTGGGCAACACGCTGGTGGCGGCGTATGGCAGGCTGGGCAGCACGCTGGAGGCGCGGGCGCTCTTCCAGAGGATGGAATCCCACACGGTGGTGTCGTGGAATTCTCTCATGCTGGGCTATGTGGGAAATGGCGAGTCCTCCGCGGCCTTGGAGTGCCTGGAATCCATGCGAGCTCGGGGATTTCTTCCGGATGCCAGGACCTTGGTCGTGGCTCTCAAAGCTTGCGGTGGAAATGGATCCAGGAGAGTTGATGGAGCTATGGGGGGATTGGAGAGAGCCATGGCTCTCCACGCTCTGGCAGTGAGCTCTGGCTATGGCGGGGATATCTACGTGCTCAACACGCTGGTAGCGGTGTATGGAAGGCTGGGAAGCTTGGCAGATGCTAGAAGCGTCTTCGAGGGGATAGAAAACCCGGACGTGGTGTCGTGGAACGCGATGATCCAGAGCTACGCTGATAACTTCCGGGAAGAGCAAGCTTTGCAGCTCTTTCAGTGCTGCTCCAATGCGAACTCTCAGACCTTTGTAGCGGCAGTGAAGGCTTCCTCTCGTCTTCCACAGCGAAGAACACTTGCTCTAGAGACCGGGATGGCTCTTCACGCCCGAGCTCGGGAGAGTGGCTGCGACTCCAACGTTTTCGTTGGAAGCAGCTTGATCGACATGTACTCGAGCTTCGCGAGTATGGCCGATGCGCACAGGGTGTTCCAGGCGATTCCTCGCAACGACGTCGTCTCGTGGACGTCGCTGGTGCTCGGGTATGCCGAGAACGGCGAGCCGGAGCTGGCTCTCGAGTTTTTCCAGGACGTGCAACGTAAAGGGGTGGTGCCAAACGCTCAGGCTTTCGTCGCGGCATTGAAAGCTTGCGCTGCTCTAGCGGCGCGATCCACAGCGAAGCCGGACGAGGCTACTCTCCAAAGGGCTATGGCTCTACACTCTCAAGCTCTCGCGGGGGGACACTGCTCCAACATCTTCGTCGCCACGTCGCTGGTGGATCTCTACGCCAACTGTGGAAGCATGGCGGATGCCCAGAGAGTTTTCGATGCGATGGACCAACTCCAGCGCACGTCCTTGGCTCTCTGGAACGCGCTGCTGCTCGGCTACGCTGAGAACGGGGATCCAGAGCTGGTGCTAGAGTTGTTTCCACAGATGGAGCTAGAGCTACAGCGAAACCAGCTCGGTCGGCCAAACTCCCGGAGCTTTGCGTGCGCGTTCAAGGCCTGCGGTGCTGCGGTGGCTCTCTCCACCGGTAAAGCTTTCCACGCCAGAGTTTGCCGGCTCGGTCTACTCGAGAAGCCCGATTCGGTTCTAGCGACTTGCGTGGTGGATTTCTACGCGAAGTGTGGCAGCCTCGACGATGCCCAACAAGTTTTCGACTCCCAGCTCTCCGGAAGCACCTCGACCATCACATGGACCGCCCTGATGGCCGGCTACAGCAGGAAAGGTGACGCTACTCGGGTGCTCGAGCTCTACCGGGAGATGGAGGCCGGAGGGATAGAGCCGAGCTCGGCCACGCTCCTGTCCATCCTCACGGCTTGCAACCACGCCGGTAAGCTCGAGGAGGCCAAGCTTCTCTTCGCGGCAATGCGCACCAAGTATGGGATCACTCCGGGGATAGAGCACTACCATTGCGTTATCGATGTTCTTGGGAGAGCCGATGATGTGCGAGGTGCGCTAGCGATGGCGAGCGCGATGCCTTGCGAGGCGGATGCTGTGACTTGGATGACTTTGCTAGGGGCGTGCTGGAAACGAAAGGATGCAGCTATCGCGAAGGTAGTGTTTGATGCGCTGCTAAATCGTGATGGAAGTAGCAGCGTGGCTGGAGCTTGCTCGATCATGGCCGGCATTTATAGCCAGAAACCATCGTAGATCATTAGATTCAAGCCTGTTATCCATGGTTGGAGCTTGTCTACTTCGTTGTCTGGAACGAGTAGAATCACGAAAACAGCAAGTGATGAATTGGAAAAATGTGAACCTCAAAAGGTGGCTGTCACTGCAGAGAACAAGCTCTTAAAATCTGTAGTTGGCGAGCCTTCTTCTTCGGCCTTGGAAGCAAGATCAAAGGCTTTGTTCTTGGCTTCCTCGTGCAGTAAAGCCTAGAAGATTGGAAGAAAACAATAAGCAAAAGTAGTGCTAGATTTTCTCAGCTGTGAGTACCTGGATGCACACTTCCGCCACATCTTCTCTTGGGATGCTCTTGGTGCTAGTGTTCAGCAGCTCGTCGTCCTTGCCAACAATGAGCTCGCGCTTGCCTCCTTCCTTGTCGATCAATCCACCAGGCCTGTTGTTTCACAAGAGTTACAAATGGAGCAGCCCCAAGATCAACACCATATACCGGATGATGGTGTACGGCAGTCCAGACTCGGACAGATATTTCTCGGCTTTCCTCTTCCAAATCTATACAATGCGATTCATGTTAAAAAGAAACCTTGAATGCCGAAGAGAACAATTTACCAGGATTTTTCCATTCCCCAGTAAGTTCAAGGGGTGATTTTCGTTGGTTCCACCCATGGAGCCAACGAGCACGACGTGCTTGACACCTGCATCTTTTGCTGGAAAAGAAAAAAGTGCTCTAAGAACACGTCACGGATGTGTGGAGGAAAGAGAGCAAGAAAAAAACAGGAACTTTGTGTTCTTACCAGCATCAATTTGATTTTTCTGGCCAATCCAATCCACCTGGAGACAATGGAGAAAAAAGAGATGAGAGATCACAGGCACAAAAAAGGAGAATGATCGTCATACCTCTTCCGGCGTGCCTCCCTCTTCGAAGTAGAACTCGGGCCTTCCACCGGACGCTGGATTGAATCCCGGCTTCATCTTCGGCACAGCGCTGGTGAGGATGACGAGCGAATGGACTCCATCGAACGCGGGAGGGAGAGTCTCCGGCTTGGTGATATCTCCAATCCGGACATCACCACTGCCATCCTGATCAATCTTCTGCTTGCTTGCCTCGGATCGAACAAGCCCACGAGCACGAAACTCTCCGGCGCGAGCTCGCAGCTTCTCATACGCGAGCTGCCCTGTTCGTCCTCCCGCCCCGGTCACCAGCACCACCACCATTTTCGCTCCTCCGCAAAGAGAAAAAGAGTAAAGAACCCTCGCGAGTGATGTCACTTCGTCTGGACTTTCAATTACCAAGACCGTCCTCCATGATCTCTAGAGGCTCCTCCATAGAGTTCCAAGGACGGGTCTCTCGTCTCCACAGCTCGCCCTCGACCGGGACTCGATCCTTCTCAGAGCTTCCTCGCTTGTTCTGTGGATCTTACACCCAGCGAGCAGTGACTTCCAAGCTCCAAACTTTAGCCTCGACTCCACCGGCATCGTCTCCACGAGCTCCTCTGCTTCGTCCAGCCTCCCGGCTCGTCCCAGCAGATCCACCACGCACACGAAGTGTTCTACCACCGGCCGTATCCAGTGGTCCGAGCTCATAGATCCGAACTGGTAGATGGATTCCTCCAGCAAACCGGCCCGGCTGCAACCGATGAGAATGCTCACAAAGGTGACGGTCCCGGACGAGCACCCCTCCAAGTTCATCCTCCGGTAAAGATCGGTAACTTCCGCCATATCTCCGTGCTGCGCATACGCCGCGATCATGACGTTCCACGACACCGGATCCTTGCGCGAGCTCTTGCAGCTCTCGAAAACTCTCCTGGCATCGCCCACGAATCCAGCTCCAGCCAGCAACTTCACGAGCGTGGTGTCCACCACCTCGGACTCCAGCCCCGCCGAGACGAACCGCCCGTGCACCGCCTTGGCCTGGTCAAGCTCTCCCAGGCTGGAGCACGCCTCGAGGACGCTGCCATACGTTGCTACGCTCGGCTCCACGTCCATCCTGTGAAAGAGCTCGAGCGCTTCTCGAGGACACCCGGCCTGGACGTAGCCCGAGATCATACTATTCCACGATCCGGAGTCTCTCGCCCCCACCACCTCCTCAAAAACTCTCCTTGCGTAGTCCAAGCGAGCACACCTTGCGTACATGCGCAACAGCGCGTTCTTCACGACCAAGTTGGCCTGTCCAATGGAGACTGCTCGCTGGTGGACACGTTTCCCGAGTTCCAAGTCGCAAAGATCCGAGCAGGTTCCAAGGATGCTGGAAAACGTGAAGCTGTCCGCGAGAATGCCTTCCAAGTTCATCCGGTAGTAAAACCCGATGGCGGCCCTGCTATGCCCGAGCTGCACGTACGCACCCAGCATGGCGTTCCAAGTCACAATGTCTCTGAGCTTCAAGCTCTCAAAGACCCTGCTCGAATCGTCGACGCTACCCCACCTCGCGAAAAAGGTGACAAGAGCAGCTCCCACTTCCTCGGAGAGAGAAGACTTCGCAGAAAATGCACGAATGTGACTCTCGATTTCCTGTACTTCGTCCACTGAAGAGCACGCGCTTAGTGCAGCAGCAAAGATGGATGCGCTCTTCGAAAGCTCGCTATCGTTCTTCTTGGACCACCACTCTTGATAAAGCTCCAGCGCTCGAGCTTTATCTCCCTCCTTGGCCATTGCTGCGATCAAACACCCCCAGCACTCGGCATTCTTCGTGGACATGCGCTCGAAAGTCCTGGTAGCTTGATCGATCCGTCCAAAACCTGCGTACAAGCTCACCAGAGCCGCCTCTAAGTTCTCTCCCTGAGATCCAGCCTCTAAAACTCGTGCGTGGATCGCCTCGGCATGGTCCAGCGTCGTGCAAGCACTGAGGACAAGCACGAAAGTCGATTCCACCGGACGAACGCCCTCCAGAACCATTCTGTGAAACATCTCCATCGCCTCCACCACATGCCCATTCTGGGCATACGCTCCGATCATCGCTGTCCAGCACCAGACGCTAGAGCTCGCGATCCTGTCGAAGAAACCTCTCGCATTGCCCACGCTGCCACACTTCCCATACATCTTGATGATAGAACACTGCATCACGGCGTCCTGACGATCCATCCCGAGGAACTCCACGCGACTGTGAATCAGTCTCCCCAGCCGATGATTCCTGGTACTAGAACACGCTCCCAGAATGCTGGAGAAGGTGAAAGCGTCCGGCCCAACGCCCTCCAAGTCCATCCTGTGGAAGATCTGGATGGCCCTGCCGGGTTGCCCATGCTGGGCATAGCCACTCGCGAGCGCCGTCCACGAGAAAACATCGCGATCGCGGCCGATGGTCTCGAAAACCATGCCCGCCTCCTCCAGCCTCCCACACTTGGCGTAGAAATCCACCAGCGCGGTCTGGACGATTGGATCGTCAAGGAATTGCGAAGATTTCACCTCATCGTGGATGGAGATTCCCTGTTCCAGATCCCCGACGCTCGAGCAGGCGCTGAGAACGCTTGCGTAGACGAAGCCATCGGGCCGGATGCCCAGCAGCGGCATCTCGCGGAAGAGAGCGATGGCATCGGCCGGGCGCGCGGCTCGGAGATAGGCCGAGATCAAAATGCTGCACGAGAACTCGTTCTTGACTGGCAGGGTGTGGAAGACGCGGCGCGCGAGCTCCAGGTTCCCGCATTTGCTGTACATCTGGACGAGGAGATTCCCCAAGAACAAGTGCCGGCCATAGCCAGCGGCAATCAAGTGGCGATGGACGCGGCCGCCGTGTGCCAGATCCCTGGCGCTCGCACATCGCCGGATAATCGCGGCGTAGAGCTGGCTGGTGGCTTGGAGCACGCCGCGTTCGAGATCCACGATCTGGCGCCTCCATAATCCGTCACACATTCATCGCTCCAAAGAACTTCCCTCTTCGCGAAGAACCCCAAAATTTTCCCTCTCTTTCGTGAAGAACCCTAAAATGCTGCTCTAGGGTTCTAGCCCATGGTAAGATTTAGCTTGGCTTGCCTGGCAAAGCGGCAGGATCGACTGACGACCAAGGAGCAGAAGGTCCAGCTCTACAAGTACTTCGATCGGCAATTGCAGCGAGAGGAGCGATCGGTGAAGCGCGCGGAGAGGCAATTGCGCAAGAAGAGGAGCGCGGAGGAGAATGCCGAGGCGCGGGCCGAGGAGATGGAGGCCGGGAGCGCACAAGACCGGCGGGCGATCCGCGCCAGGCAGCGGGAGGCGCGATTCGGCGAGGACGGGGACGATTTCCGTGAGATTTTCGACGCCGAGGGGGTGAAATTCTCGGCGCGCTACAAGCCCCCGCCTAAGCAGGAGCCCTGCTGGTGGAAGAGCGCCTGGGGGATCCTCCCCAGCGCGGAGCGCTTCGCGGACATGGGCGCCGTGGATGCCGTCCTCGCGGCGGTGGACGAGCGCCGGATCGACACCCGGGCGCCCTTCCTCTACCAGCATTTCCTGGAGAAGTGCATCGCGGGCAGGGCGATCGAGCAGGGGCGCAAGGTCCACGCTCACATCATCAAGAATGGCCTCTCCCAGGATCGAAATTTCTCCAATCTCCTCGTCCAGATGTATGGCGCGTGCCGCGAGATCGAGGACGCCGTCAGGGTGTTCACCTCCATCGCCTACAAGAACACGCGATCCTACGCCGTGATGATCTCCGCCTACAGCGATCACGGCGACTACCGCAAGGCGCTGGATCTCTTCCACCGCATGGTGGAGACGCTGGAGCCGGACGACTTCGTGCTCTCCACCGCGCTCCACGCCGCCGGGATGATCCAGTCGCTCGAGGACGGGCGCGCCATCCACAAGTGGATCCTCGACTCGGAGATCAAGCCCGAGCTCGCGCTGGAGAATTCCATCCTGGAGATGTACGCGCGCTGCGGCGATCTGCCCATGGCATCGCAGCTCTTCACTGCCATGCCCGCGAGGAACTCCGCGAGCTGGAGCGTCTTGATCGCTGGCTACATCGAGGGTGGCGAGCCGGAGGAAGGGCTCAAGCTCTACAAGAGGATCCAGCACGGGGTTCACCGGGTGGATCTTAGCGCCGCCACGATCGTCCTCCTGGTGCGCGCTTGCGGCGAGCTGGATCTCCTCGAGGAGGGCGGGGAGATCCATCGCGGGCTCAACGAGAGGGAGCTCGGCTACCCGGGCGTGGCCGCCGCGCTTATGGAGATGTACGCACGGTGTGGGATCGTGGACGACGCGAGGAAGCTCTTCGATCAGCTCCCCCAGAGAGATCTCGTTGCCTGGAACTCGATGATCGCGGTGTATGCCCGGACTGGGCATCCGCGCGAGGCGCTGGAGCTGTACGAGAAGCTGGATCTAAGCCCGGACAAGCAGACTTACCTCGCGATGCTGCTCGTCTACGCGGATCTCGGGGACCTGGATCGCGGCCACCGGATCCGGCTGCTGCTGGATCAGACCGACAGCGATCTGGAGCTCCAGGCCGCGATCGTGAGCTTCTACGCGCGATGCGGCGCGATCCGGGAGGCGAGAGGGGTGTTTGACAGGATCCGGCAGCGCGACGCCGCGTGCTGGACCGCGATGATCCACGCCTACGTCGCGGGCGGCGAGGCGGCGCGCGCGATCGAGCTCTTCCGGGAGATGAGCGTGGAGCCGAGCGCCGAGACGTACGCGATCGTGCTGTGGGCGTGCTCGATCGCGGGGGATGCCGCCACCGGTAAGGCGCTGGACGAGGAGATCTCAAGGACGGAGCTACGATCCAATCTCCTCGTCCAGAACTCGCTGGTGGGGATGTATGCGCGGAGTGGGCAGCTCATGTACGCGAAGTGGGAGTTCGATCGGATTGCCTGCCGGGACTGCGTGTCGTGGAACATCCTCCTGGGCGCGTATGCCCAGCTCGGGCATTGCCGCGAGGCGCTGGAGCTCTTCCCGCAGATGCCACAGGAGGGCGTGGCGCCCGACGGTGTGACGTTCGTGGCGGTGCTGTGCTGCTACTGCCGGATCGCCGCGGCACCGGTGGGGGAGGAGTGGTGGGAGCAATTCGTGCGCATGGTGGCGGATTTCGGGATCGCGCCTTGGGTGGAGCACTACGCGTGCGTGATCGAGCTGCTGGGGCGGGCGGGGAAGCTGGGCGAGGCGGAGGAGCTCGTGAGGACGATGCCGTTCGAGGCGGAGGCCGAGCAGTGGAGTGCGCTGCTGGCGTCGTGCCGCGCGCACGGGGATGACAAGCGCGCCGCGCGGTCGGCATACCGGATCGCGGAGATGGAGGGAGCCGCCGCCGCCGCGGGATGAAAAACTCTCAAAGTATTTCAGAGTTTCCATGCAGGATAGCAGGCCTCCATCACCTGGCTCAGCGTAAACAGGGTGATTAGTGAGCTTGGGAATTTGATGTTCAAGATAAGGTCAAATCTGGAGTTTGTTGTTCTGCTCTATAACTTCCCGATGTGTTTGTCAATTTACATCCAATGGGGCATAACTCATTTACCATTAATTAGTTTTTATTAATGGTAAAGTATTCACAAAACTCTAATTTAATATTTTATCTTAATTGGTCAATAAAACTTACCATTAAATTAGGTTAATGTGTTTATTAAGGTTTAAATTAATTTCAAACAAAAAATTAATCACTTTAGCACAATTCCTAATAACTTTTTGAATTCATAACACACATTAATACTAGTAATAAAGTTTTCAATGAATTAATTTATCAAATGGCAAAGAGCTGTAAAAATAAAATTTGTAATGCATTTCCAAGTAGTAAAAATTGAGATATTAGATACAAATGGAATATAAATTAAACTAAAAAATATAGTTTAGTTTTTTTTGTTTAAAGTTAATTTCAAGTTGAAAGTGGTTGAAATACGTGTTTGAGTCCAAAGACATAATTTACCTTGGGTATCATATTTCTCGTGATAATTTATAATTTAATCCTAACAAACTTATGGCTATTTTAAAGTTCTTTACTCCGAAGTGTGTAAATGATGTGCAGTGTTTTTTGGGCAAGATGCAGTATTTTGGTTATTTGTTCATTATCTTTCTGATTGTATTGCATCTTTGCGAACGTTGTTAAAGTCATCAATGTTATATTTTATTAAATCTATAAATTGTGAGGCATTTATAAATCTCAAAGAGATATTGACAACTCCTCCAATTTTGGCATATCCTAATTATAGTCAACTTTTTATTTTGTGCGTGGGTGCTTATAATATTAGCCTTGGAGCTATGTTAATGCAAGAAAGCTTAAGTGTGTCTGATAAATGCTATCTTATTGCATATATAAACTGTACATTGCAATTAGCAAAAGTGAATTACTCTACGACAAAGAAGGAGTGTTTAACAGCAGTTTAGGGTTTCAAGAAACTCCATGTATATTTACATAGTTCTTGAATATTACTAAAAGGTGTAGTTACTTCATTATTGAAATAAAAGAATTTGGTTAGTTATATTGTTCAGTGAGTTTTAAAGCTTAAAATATATGATTTTGATGTTGTTCATCGTTTGGAGAATCCTATAATTGATGCTAATACCCTTTCTAGAGCTCCTCTTTCTTTTTCTCTCTCTTATCATATTTTTAATAAGCCTATTATTCCAATATTTATGGATTTTTAGATGGAGATTTTATGCTATCAGCAATTTCTATACTTGATATTAAATATCTACAAGGTGTAAAGCAAGATTTACTTTCTCTTGACAAAGTTTGTGAGGCTTAAAAAATTAAGCCATAAATTTAAAGGTTTTATGATAGGTTTGAGAATTTTACATCACTTGTTAATGACTTGCCATTCGACATTTACATTCTCAATATAACCTTGAGGACGGTCTTATTTATTTTGTGGGGACGGATTCTGATGATCATTTATAACTAGTGGTGCTTTTGATCTTTATTCCACACTTTTTTCATATTTATCATGATTCTCTTATTCTAGGTAGGCATATGGAACATCACTATATGACCAAAAAGTTATACAAGTGTTTCTACTAGCCAAAAATGCAATATAATGTTATTTGGTATATGTGTAGTTGTGTTTGGTGCTAACCTTGTAATACTCCCATTATGATATAAAAAGATAGTTAAAGTTAATTATAATTTCCCATTTATTTAATTTGGTGGTGTTTGATTTGATGGGCTTTTTTCAATTGATTACAAGCAATGA